ATTTGCTTTAATAAACTTTTTTTTTTTAAAGACAGCTTTACATTGATTTTCATAATCTTTGCAACACTCTGAACTTCTCTCTATTTTTTCCGATGAGATCAGTCACCGTTGTGGTTAACAGAAATATAAATTGACGAGCTGCTTCCTGGCAGGAGATATTCCCCATGAGATACACTGCACCTCAGGGTGGGGCGACCTCATCCTGAGACACAATGATTTTCAAGAAAAAAAACTATAATAATTTATAGTTTTGGCCTGTGTGGCTTTTCAAAAAATCCTCCATGGCTTAACTATCTGTTTATTTCATTCTCTCGTGTTTCCCGAAGGTTCTAAATGAAGATCTCCAGTTTTAAAGGGGACCAGAGTTCAAAAGATCTCCTTCCAAAGTCGATATCCAACAATCCTTGTGTGGCCTTTCAGACCACACACAAGCTGTTTTATTGCACGCAAGAGGCAGGCTTCCAGAGGCGGCCAAAGGCCAAACAGGCAATCACAGAATTAACCATAACTGTTAAGCGTAGCTCAGTGCTAGAGGAACAGCTTTACGGGCAGAATGTTGCAGGTTCAATTCCTAGCATCTCCAGGTGGGACGAAGAGGGATCCTTTGTCAGAATCCCTGGAAAAGTGCTGCCACTCAATGCAGTAAGTTTGTGCATTTAATGTTGGGAACTATTATGAGAAAAAGGTAAAGGGACCCCTGACCATTAGGTCCAGTCGTGACCTACTCTGGGGTTGCAGCACTCATCTCGCTTTATTGGCCGAGAGAGCCGGCGTGTGGCCAGCATGACTAAGCCTCTTCTGGCGAACCAGAGCAGCACACGGAAACGCCATTTACCTTCCCGCCAGAGCGGTACCTATTTATCTACTTGCACTTTGACGTGCTTTCGAACTGCTAGGTTGGGAGGAGCAGGGACCGAACAACGGGAGCTCACCCCATCACGGGGATTCGAACCACCGACCTTCTGATCGGCAAGTCCTAGGCTCTGTGGTTTAACCCACAGCGCCACCCGCGTATCTATGTGCAAAAGTTGAAAATTGAGCCTAGCTACCAGAATATTATCAGCAAAAGTTGATATTAGATTATTATTAAACACAGCTTAAATTTCACTTAGCGTACACAGTACACTTTCATATTGTCAACCTCAGTCCCAAACCATTTCACACACTGCCATATATGAAACTCTGGGGTCTACACGGATGTCCTTATTTTATTGGAGAGGAATGCTGGAGGGTATGGAGTTTTCCGAGCCCCGAGCCATCTGAAGGCAGGCCTGTGTACAGGGAAGGGTTTTTTTAGTGTTTTATTATGTTTTTATATATGTTGGAAGTCTTCTTCTTCTTCTTCTTGATTAGGGTGTCCCTATTTTTATCAGGGAAATGTTGGAGGAGATGCATTTTTGGTTCCTCCATAATGTGGGAACTTCTTTTGTGATTCAACCAACCTACGTGATTCAGTTATTCAAATGATGCTGAAATTGGGTGGAATCCCTCCCTAATGACTCCTACATCCCCCTGGTTAACAAACAAATTAGATTTAAATTATTAGACCAAACAGAGGGGGAACTAGTAAAAACTAGAACCGCTTTATAATTCTGAAATCTTTTTGTAGCTCCAGCACCACATTGGTAATGTGTGAGTCAGTCTTCAGCATGCACTTTTTGAACCACTTTGTTTTCCCTCCCTAGAAAGGATGTTTCAGCAGGGAGTGTTGAGCAGAGCAGAGTTAAAGTTTATATGAAATTCAGGGGGCATTTCATCACACAACCAGCTTAAATCCAAGAAGCCTAGGTGAATTTAAACAGCACACATTCTCCTGATACCTCCACATCAAGTACTGTTACGTGAACTTCAAAGGAATTTTTAATAAAACCGTAACATCTTTGATCTATATTTATAAAACTGAGCTCAAGTATAAAATGGTTCATGTAAAATAGGAAAGCACATATACGAAGGGATTAACACTGGAATGTGCGGATGAGCTGCCTGGAAACTGAGCCAAGAAAGAGCAAACACACACTTTAAAACCAAGGTAACACATTATAGTCCTTCCAACACGTTTCCCAATCTTCTTTAAGGCCTGAATTAAACATCTATCCAGCCGGGCAGGTGACTGTGGGCTCTTTGAAGCTGTTGGTATTTTTGTGGGTGAGATTCAACAGCATACCTGCAAAATCAATTTTGTGCGGTTAAAGTGGATTTGGAGCTATTGAACAACAGATCTGCTTTTTCCAAGGGATTTTTTTTCCAGGCATGGGGAACTACATTGGAAAGTGTGGAATATCTACTGTTTGATAGTACGCTGTATAGCCTTCTGTCAAACAAACAAGGATGAACGCTCAATAAACAGGTCATCTGGAAGTGACCTGCTTAAAGCATAGCCCTAAGAAGAAGGCCATTTATTTGCCTCTTCATGCTATTTGGACCATGCATCTTCACAAGTTTTTTGCTCCACTCAAAAGATGCAGATTGTGTATGCTTAATAGAGTGGTACCTCCGGATACGAACTTAATTCGTTCCAGAGGTCCGTTCTTAAGCCGAAACCGCTTGTAACATGAGGCACGCTTTTGCTAATGGCGCCTCCTGCTGCTGCCATGCTGCGACTTCCGCTGGCATCCCGGGGCAAAGTTCACAACTGGGAGCATCTACTTCCGGGTGAGCAGAGCTTGTAACCTGAAGCATTAGAAAGGGGGGTGGTATGTAACACGAGGTTCCACCGTATGCTGCCCCTCTTGTCCGTGCAAGGGGGATGCCTCTTCAAATAATTTTGGGTGCACCTTTCAGCGTGCTTGGAAGTTGTGGGTTTTGGGGACACACACAGAGAGGAACAGCCACCACCATTTCTCAAACAGAAGCTGCTAATGCTTTTGCACACTAGAACTGTCAATGACTTCTGTAAATAATGTCGCTGCAAAGAAGGTGACAATAGAAGCATCTGCTGGAGCAAACAGCCTTCCATAAATGGAAGGACCCATTGGAATGAATGCGGTTTGTCACATTTATACAAGATGCATCCCTTATGTGTCAGAGGTTGTGTGTCCACTGGGAGTTGGGGCTAGCGCAGTTCTAAGACACAGATATATTACACTAAACGCAATCATGCTACAAGTCTTAAAGGGAGACAAAGATGGGATGGATCTGGAGGAATTCTCATGTGTGATGTGCACAGTCAACTGGTTTTTAATCTTGACATTTGAGAAACCATTTGCTAACCACTACACTTGGCCTTTCTATTTTGATCTAGCCTGCCAGATTGTTTATTTCTTCAGAGGTCGCTCTGTGCGAAAGATCAAAGAGCAGCCTTGGAATTTCTGCTACCGAGAGAGAAGAGGCATGTCATCATATTAGAAGTTGGTCCTTGGGTGGGCCTCCCTTCTCCCTTGAGGACCACCTCCTCTTTCTTCAGCGACATACTGAAGTGTTGGGCTGCCTTTGGGAATAGAATTACTAGGAACATTCCTGGCTCATTCATGCTTGCCTAGCAAAACACAAGCTGGGAGGGAGTTCCTTATGAACACTGATAAACAAGCAATAGAGTTAACATTCTCTATGGTTGCCCACAATGTGCTTTGATGTTCTGTGTTTGCGAGACAGTAAGGATAGCTCTTGTAGGAGCAGGTGACTGGATGAGCCAATGTGCCTGCGGACAGCTGTCCAAACTCTACCAACAACCCTACAACTCATAGGGCAGCACAAGGGGGAGGCAGGCGCAGTGACATGCAAGATGGGTTGAAGGTCTGCTTGCCTTTCGCTAGAGAAGATTTAATGCTACAGCAACAATCGCAGAAGAGGTAGATGAATAGTGAGGTGAAGCTAGGGATGAGTGCACCTGTCAGTTTCGGTTCCTATCGGTTTCTCATTTTCCATTCTTAAGCTCAGTTCTTCAAAGTTCCATATCAGTTCACGAGTGTGAGGTTTTGTGTTCCCTTTGTGTATACAGTGGTGCCTCGCAAGACGAAAAGAATCCGTTCCGCGAGTCTCTTCGTCTTGCGGGTTTTTTTGTCTTGCGAAGCAAGCCCATTAGAGGTTTAGAGGCTTAGCGCTACAGTATTAGCGGCTTAGCCGGCTTAAAGATCAGCTGATAAGCGGCTTAACGATCAGCTGATAAGCGGCTTAGCCATCAGCTGATAAGCGGTTTAGCGGCTTGGGAAAAAGGGGGGGAGGAAAAAAACCCCGCAGGAACTCGCAAGACATTTTCGTCTTGCGAAGCAAGCACATAGGAAATTCGTTTTGCGAAGCACCTCCAAAACGGAAAACCCTTTCGTCTAGCGGGTTTTCCGTCTTGCGAGGCATTCGTCTTGCGGGGCACCACTGTACATTACAGTACAGTCGTACCTTGGAAGTCAAATGGAATCCATTCTGGAAGTCCTGACTTCCAAAACGTTTGAAAACCAAAGCGAGGCGAGCTCCTGCAGCCAGTCAGAAGCCGTGGAAGCCCCATCAAACATTTGGCTTCCAAAAATAGTTTGTAAACCGGAACAGTCACTTACGGGTTTGCAACATTTGGGAGCCAAAACGTTCGAGAACTAAGCTGTTCAAAGACCAAGGTATGACTGTAGAGTCTTGCCTACACATCTTATTGCCACAACTGTTCTGGATATAGCTACTTTTCTACTTACAGTGGTACCTCGGGTTAAGTACTTAATTTGTTCCGGAGGTCCGTACTTAACCTGAAACTGTTCTTAACCTGAAGCACCACGTTAGCTAATGGGGCCTCCTGCTGCCGCCACGCTGCTGCTGCACGATTTCTGTTCTCATCCTGAAGCAAAGTTCTTAACCTGAAGCACTATTTCTGGGTTAGCGGAGGCTGTAACCTGAAGCGTATGTAACCGGAAGCGTATGTAACCCGAGGTACCACTGTATTTATAAACTGCTTAATTGCCAAAGTGGCTTCTAAGCCATTTATACGATTTCTATAGTTGTAGTATAGAGGAACATTTTAGTTCTGTTTGGTTGAGGGATGCCAAACAAATCCAGTGAATGATGACAGGCACATGTACATCAAACATTACATAGTCATCGAGAGAACTTTATTAGTGGCTTAGCATGGAGGGCATTTTTAAAAAAATCTAACAGTCTGACTTCTTCATTAGGCAAATTACATAAGTAAAGAACAATGGGTTCATTGCTTTTAATTTCATTTCATATTTGCCATCTCACAAACTTTTAGTTAACTGGCAGGTGATTTCTGGGTACCTTTTGGTAGGATGAGCCACACTTCTCTGTTACTTTCACTTAGGATATTACTAAATATTCTATGTTTGTACATACTCTTTACCTTTTTGACATTGCTATACGTTGTTCTTAGAAATCTACATACTCTACCTCACAAACATGGTACTATCTTGAATGTGTTGCTCCAGAACATTACAATGAGGGATCTATTTTAAGCAAAGGTCTCAAGCAAATGTTCTGTCCGATGTACGCAGATTCTCAGCACAGAAGGCCTGCAAATTTGTTACTGATGTAGCGAGCTACACCAATATCACAACGGTCCCAAATTCTTTTTTCCTTTTTTTTTAATCCTTAGCCTTCGCTATAGAGAGCTCTTTATATTTAATCTCCATCAAGAGATTACAGTAATGAAAGCAAAGGCTTAACTCTAAATCCATTTTTCTAAATAACAAATCTTGTTTGTAGGAACAGAATACTAACACATTTTCATTGTGATACTGATTTATGTTGCCTGTAAAACAAAAATCAAAACCAAACAGAAATTGGACTCTGAGTCAAGGAAATAGTTGGATGACAAGGAAAATTAGGGCCGAGGTGCAAAAGCACTCAGAATTTGCCACCTCTTTCTTAGGTAGTAAATGTGGGGTTACTTTTTTGTGTGTGTGGGCGGGGAGGGGTGACTGAATTGGTTCATCTGATTTCTGGTAAGAGTTGCCTACCGTAGTAAGATTGCCTTTTCCTACATCTTAAAATACGCTGTCTGCGAGGGTGATGGTGGTGATAAGTTCCATCTCTCTACCTACTGCCATTTGAACCTTAAACCTCAGTGAACAGAATATGAAATCCAGTCCTGGCATGAGTGGAGAGAGGCCTGCTGTTGCCATTCTCACAGCCAATGGCTTTAAAAATAAAGAAAAGACGGAGATATCCCCACTAGATTAAGCATTCCCCACTGGAACTAGATAAATCTGTCATCCCCCTCAATCCTGTCACAGGCTTTTTAAGGGCGAGTAGGAGGAAAACTGGCCACATACATCCCAGCCCTAAGCAATCTGAAAAATCAAAAAGAAATATCTCCCACTCTGTGCAAAACAGCGAAGAAAATTCCTTCTTTAAAAAAAAAGTTTTACTTTCCCCCAAAAGTAAAATCCCTTTAATTAGAAGACTTGACACTACAAATACATTTAAAAAACATACGCATGGTCATGCTTCACCTTAGCCAATTTGAAGGTGGCTGTTTCAGAATTTTATAATCCACCATAAGATCTGGCCATGAGAAACTTCTTAAAACTTCCAGTATATGTCACGCAGATTGCTTAATTCTTTACTAAAGAATGGTAAATGTCTTGGGGGCAATATAGCCAGTCACCAAACAACTCTTAATTCCCACCGATTTCAGTGTGAGAATTAAGCACATCCATATCTGCAACAAGCCTGCTTTTCAAACTCTAGTAAATCAAGGGAAAGACATTCATTTCCCAGCAGCTATATTGACAACTGTAGTAGTAAAACAGATGTTTTTCATTGTTATTGGCAGTGTAAATAAAAATGAAGGCTACAACAGGTTTCTGTCCTTGCCCTGAAAATGTCCATCACAAAGCATGCTGATGGGGATAATTATTAATGAAATGCATTTTAAAAACAACAACAAGGAGGAAGCCTAAATTTCTAAATAAGAAGGCACTGATGCAGTTATTAAGCTTAATTAATTGGAGAGGCTTTCAGTTAGGGCCATCACAAAAATATCATCTGATGAAGGCTAGTTATGAGTAGCTTTAAAAATGGCTTTCCCAAACGTTTGTCAGCTTCCCAGTGTAAGCAGCTCGTTTTCTACTTCCACCAAGCAGAAGATAAAAACAAAACAACAGTGAGGCTTCTAAAGACTGGGCAGTTTTTGTGGACTGGGCACTGGTGAATAAAGTACTATCGTCCATTAGTGATTAAAGTAGAGCTTAGTAAAATTGTTATTCTCCTCTGCTTCCAAGACCTCCAACAATGTTGTCAATTGTTTTATAACTAGTAATCCACCCAGCACTAAATTCTCATGTGTGGGTGTCTTGTTTTTGTTTCCTTAAAAAAAGAAAAACAAAAAAACCCCCCTTTCAGTTCAATTTCAAACCACAGAGTGATCATTACTACACACTCCGGCCAAGATGGTGTGGTTGAGCGATGAGGCTGATCGGTCAGAGCCTTCTGTTGGGCCGTTGGCATTTTCATTCCTCTGACAGCAAAGGATCTGTTTGAAGGTGGCGCTCATTTCCTTGTCCCGGTAAGAGTAGATGATGGGGTTCATGGCAGAGTTGAATTCAGCAAGTAACAAGAAGAATTTTTCATATGCCAGGACATTGCACTGTGGGCAACAAACATCAAGGAGCAGCAAGACTAATCCTGGAGTCCAGCAGATTATAAAAGCACCTGGAATGAAGAGGGAGAAATAATATATATGAATATCTCACGAGTAAGACTATGGGCTAAATTGAACACCTCAAGCATAGACAGAAGATTATTATATCTGATTAACTGCCTTTATAAAGACACTGTGCTGAAAGTGTGTTGCTCTACAAATGGCCAACTTACAGGATCTGTACCAGCCACAAAGGGTGTCAAGCAAGGATGCATTTTAGCTCAGGCACTCTTTAACCTATACATAAGCGACATAGTCCAGTGTCTAACATCTCCAGAGTTCCATGCCCCTAAACTGGCCTCAGATCCAATCTCTGTACTATTATATGCTGATGATGCAGTTCTCTTATCCCAAACAAAAATAGGCCTAAAAAGATTGATAAGAGAATTCTCAGTGTATTGCCAGAGAGAACACCTGGTTGTAAACTATCAGAAAACCAAAGTTATGGTTCTCTCAATAAAATATAGGCCCCACAGTTGGCGTATGGACAATCAGCCAATCGAACAGGTCAAAGCTTTCAAATATTTGGGCCTTATCTTCCAGTCCACTGGGTCATGGGGAGCAGACCTTTTTTGCATATACTGCAATGTTTTACTGTTGCTATGGCCATTGGCTAATGCGAATAAAGTTTTATCTGTCCGTCTGTCTATCTATCATCTATCTATCTATACACATATTTTGCACACGTTCACCACATTTTAAATATTATGCCTTTCCTCCAAGACGCTCAATGCCACACATGGTATTCAGTTATGTTCATTACTTTCAACAGGTCTACTTTGAGTGAAGACCAGTTAATCCTCAGCTTTGTGTGGTAGGCTAGGCTGAGATATTGATTAGCACAGAGTGCTTCAGGACTAAGCAGGGATTTGAATCTAAGTCTGTGGTAAGAATCCAGTATCTTGGTGCTGCCCAGGTATTTTTAGAAGTGAAAAATAAATAAATAATACTACGGTTTTCAAATGGACAGTGTAATTTATAAATTTGGACCTGTCATGCCAAAAATTGGCTGAAGCCACACCAAAGTCATCTTTGGGTCTGCCATTTTGATTCAAAATGGTGGCCAGCATCCCAAAGTTGTCGAAGACCTCCCTTCACCCCCATTGGGAACTCTCATGCCAAATTTGGCGGTGGTACCTCAAGAAGTGGCTAAACCTACAGAGAACAGACAGACAAACCATATTCCAAAATACATGTTGTAAACCTCCTTGTGACCATTTTTGGTGAAAAGTAGTATAGAAATCTTTTGAGTAGACAAACAAGCCTCAAAGTAGGAAAGAACCCATTTCATATGCCTTTCAGGGAAAGTTTGCAAGACACATTCAGTGGAACATGAGATGGGGGAGAAGCAGGGACAGTCATATCGGTCTATTTCTGATCCGCGTCAGTTTTGTACTGGTTGGTTCACTTCCGTCCTGTTTCCTCATAAATATGTGAATTAAAAAGCAAAGCATGAAAAGTCACATTTAAATTTGCATTTTATGGCAAAATACATTTTACACATGTATTTTATCTCAACACACGCATTTCTAAGGGTATTTTATCCCAAAACACGCCAAACAACAGTCCGGTGTTTCCCCCCCACCAGTAACTGCATCGCAAAATTTGGATAAGTGTGGAATCTAAAAGGTAGGAATGTTCCAACCTGTATATTCATTCAGCTTGCCCAAATATGCTGTGGTATGGTCCCCTAAACCACAGGGTGTTTGCAGCCCCCTTTTATGCCAGATGGCAGTGTCATCAACTCCTCTTGGCCCGAAGAGCCTCAGCTCATCATAGAGTAGGACAGAAGACAGCCTCTCTCTTTCTGCTCCTTCCTACAAACCATTAGCCACGCTCAAAAATCTTCCTTACAGGTGTGTTTATGCCCGCTCCACTACACCTAAGCTTGCTTTCTCCAGCCTCGTCACATAGGCAGACCAAACAAAATTCTCCTCTAGCCATAATAATGCCATTTTTCCTGAGGACTGTGAGAAAAGTAACCCTCGTACTCTTGCATTAATCAGATTTTCCTTTTTACATGCTTTTCCAGACATGGCTATATGAAAGGAATAATTCTATCAAGGACTGACCTTCCAAGATTCTGAACAGATGGCCACTTACTATAAGTAAGCAAAAGTCTAATCTATTATTTGACTTGGGAACATACCCTTTCAAAATAACTATGTGGATTTCTGCAGCACAGCTTCTCAACATCTATTAAAATACCTGCAATAAAGATAAGCAAGATTACCTATTGTCCCCACATTTTGGGGGGTGGGAGGCGATTTAGCTATTCCTTGAAGGAAATTGCTGTATTGAACTGTTTAAGCAAGCCAGAGGTAACATAACAAGAAGGTTGATGGTGGTGTATGCATAGGAATAGTTCAGTTGCCAGAGCACGAGACTCTTAATCTCAGGGCCATGGGTTTGAGTGCCACATTGGGAAAAAGATTCCTGCATTCCAGGGGCTTAGATGGCCCTCATGGTATATATTCCAACTCTAAAATTCAAATATGATTTCGAATATTTCAACACATGACTGAAAAGCAAGAGCTGCAACCATCTTGAAATGAAATCCATACGTAAATAAGGAAAGAATATGGCATGCTACCGGCTCCTGGGCCAAAAATATGAAAAGGATCAAAATAGTTGTCTCAGATCTCAGTGGATCATCTCTCAGCATGGAGATATTGGAGAACAAGGCTCTACACTGCAGGTTAATCCCCACGGAAGCCTTAAAACAGTGGTATTCAAGCAGTTCAATTGCCATGACAGATCCCATTGCTGACAGTGCACTGGCATACATAGCTGTCCTCTTCCCCAAAGGTAGGTTAGGCTGAGAGTGAGTGACTGGCCCAAGCCCACCTAGTGAGCTTCATGGCTGAATGGCAACTGGAACCATGGTCTTCCAGGTCTTATGGTGTCACGTTCCTGTTCATGGGTGATCAAAGTCCTGGCAGGGGATGTCAGGACCGGGGGCAAGATGGTGGGGTGGGAGCAGGAATGGGGTTCCAGAAGCCAGGAGTCAGGAAGCAAGGAGTCACGAAGTCAGGGGTCCGAGGATCAAGAAGCAAGAAATCACGAAGTCAGGGGTCCGAGGATCAAGAAGCAAGGCAGGGAATATGTTGCTGTGGCAAAGAGCCGAAGGGAAAATGCTGACCTTATATCCCTTCCTGGCTCTTGCCACCAGGTGCTGTGAGTTACCAATCGGCCTCACCTGTGTGGCCACGCCTTGCCTCTTCAGAACAAACTTAGGAAGGCCCCAGTCCTGCAAAGTCCTATTGGTCACAGGGCCCGGCTCCTGCACGCACACCTGACATATGGTGACATTCCAACCACAACATCACATTGATCTGACGCTACTTGGAGTGCTGCTGCTGCCACAGCCAAGTAAATCCTCCAGGACCTACTGATAGATGAGGAGGCTTTCTCAAGAGCACAATGCCTAGGGACCACTCAAACCTGGAACTGGTCCCTGTTCCCAGAATAAGAACAGCTCCATGAAGTGCTGCTCAGTAAACCAAACAGCCTGAAAGACAGGTTTTCCATTGTTATGTTTCTTCCCCTGCAATGTGCAAATATATGGTATGGCATGACTCACTTTGCATGACATGACAGCTAGATTCAACATGCCTGGCCGCTGCTGTGGACAAACTAAGATCCGATTTAAATGTTGCACCAGGGATGCGAGAAAAACCCATGTGAGGTTCTATGCAAGTTGGTATCTCACTTAAATCAGGTTATATCACTCATGCATGCAGCTTTACTACATTATGGATCGACGATCTCTATAGGTGTTCAATACATGGTGACCGTGGTCTGGGTCAGTTGAAACATGAAGCAGCAGGTAGAATGCCGTTAAGTGTCTTGTTTTCTTTTGGTTTTGTTTTACATTTCCAGTGTTACCTTTTAATCAGGCCTAAGCATGTGCTCCAGGGATGCAGGTGGCGCTGTGTGTTAAACCACAGAGCCTAGGACTTGCCGATCAGAAGGTCGGCAGTTCGAATCCCCGCAACGGAGTGAGCTCCTGTTGCTCAGTCCCTGCTCCTGCCCACCTAGCAGTTCGAAAGCACGTCAGTGCAAGTAGATAAATAGGTACTGCTCCGGTGGGAAGGTAAACGGCGTTTCCGTGCGCTGCTCTGGTTCGCCAGAAGCGGCTTAGTCATGCTGGCCACATGACCCAGAAGCTGTACTCCGGCTCCCTCGGCCAGTAAAGCGAGATGAGCGCTGCAACCTCAGAGTCAGTCACGACTGGACCTAATGGTCAGGGGTCCCTTTACCTTTACCTTAAGCATGTGCTCCAGATAGAACATAGTGGAGGTTCTTTTGCTTACAATATGCAAAGGGTTCTCCAAGGATATGAAATCTGAAATCCAAAAGCTCAAAACTATCCTGTTTCAACTCTTGTACTAATTGCAATGGGACAATATTCTTATTTCAAATGACAGGGTAAGAGTCTGTTTGAAAAGTTATCCAACAAACAGCTGAAGTATCTCTCAAGCATGATACATTTTATTTTTCTTATGGGGTAGGATTATCTGGTGACACAGGAATGCGCCTGCCCTTTCCAAATCACACACCATGGGGAGTCTACTATTCTAGGCTACTCCCAGTTCCAAAATATTTCATCCCTTACTCCTGAACATGAAAAGAGGATCAGCATTTTTCATGAACCAAAAAAGGATTATTATTTTTTTGTTTCGCCTGGAGAAGGAATCAATGAGGCAAAACTAGAAGGAATGAACAGATGGTGCCAAGGTAATAAAAACCTTAAAGGTGAGCATGGCAGAAGGGAAGTTATTTCAAGGCTTTGATAAAAAAAAGAGAGAGGGGGGAAGCATTTGAAGGGGCTCAGTTACTCCTACATAATTTATACCTCCTGGCTTCTAGGCCTGTCTTATCCTTGTAATCCAAAGGAATCTTGTTTTTATCATCATTGCTTCCAGATTCCTAAACAAGGGAATAATAAGGCATGGGAAGAATGTTTGCAAATCCAAAGTTGTGGACCAATTAGCTTCATTCGTGGAGTGAAGCAATGAAGTCTAATGGGCATGGCTGAGTTGGGGCTGACGGGATCCCTATGTAGGCTTGAGAAGATGGATGGGATAACAATTGGATTGATACGTGTAAATAATATAGGTTACCTAATTCATTCACCACCTGCTCAAGAGTGCCTGTCAAGTAGATCTGGCCTACTGTGGGCTCGCCAGTTCTTTGAACATATGTTGCAACAATTAAAAAGTACCTCTTTATACTCTGACTGCAGTTGGGCTGCGCCTAACCCACAGGTCAAGGCAAAGGCGTGTGAAACTGACCCTAATGACCAGTCACCCAGAGCGAGGGGGGAATATGCCTGAAGCTTTTCCACAAATCCAACTTGGGAGTTTCTTCTCCATGTTTCAAACTAACATTTATTTCCGTCACATGTTTTGGGACAGGAGTGATGCTCAAAAATACTTATCAGCATACTTAGCTTAAAAGAAGAAATACGGAAAAGCCAGGAACATTATATTAAAAGGAAGGTTTTTGCACAAAAGAAGGTTCTGGGAATATCCGTCTGCTGTGCCACTGATTTCTGCACAAACCATATCACATTATATTCTAAGGTTCAGAGTATAGCTTAGGCAACACCACTCATGTCTGAGCTGAGCTAAGTAACAGGCTTCACACATATAGTGGTACCTTGGTCCTCCAACTTAATCTGTTCTGGGAGTCCACTCAACTCCCGAAACCATTTGAAAACCAAGACATGGCTTCCGATTGGCTGCAGGAGCTTCCTGCACGCAATCGGAAGCAGCGTCGGACATTTGGGTTCCGAAAAATGTTCGCAAACTGGAACACTCACTTCTGGGTTTGTGGCGTTTGGGAGCCTATTTGTTCGGGAGCGAAGCCTTTCGAGTAACAAGATACCACTGTACATGTAATGATTTTTATTTTTTTAAAGAACCCATTAACACAGTCTTCTTTTATGGAGCAAAAAGTCATAGTTCTTAGGGTGCCACGTAGAATGGAATTTATATTTCAGTATCAATTGGGGAAAACTGAAAGCACTTCAAATGCTACGGCTGGATTTCTTAATGACGCAGGCAAAGTAAGTTTTCATTCTTCAGTTAACAAACTGAACTGCTTAGATAAACAGAGGAACTTTAAAGAGGACAGAAGTATTTGAGTTAGGACAGTCGGGATTTTCATTGGTATCTAAAACCAGAAAGATAATGTGAAACTAATGTTATGAATGAGGCCCAGCTGTTGTCAAGACAATTTGAAGCATTTACCCACTACAAAAGTTATAATGCAGTCCCCATGGAATCCCATCCCTGCCAAAACTCTGACACTAACAGGAAGTGTTTGTGTCTTTATCATATTTTATCAGTTAAACAACTCTGCTATGCTGCTTCAGTGCAAATGCTATTTAAAAAGTCTGAGATATGGCATTAAAACATATGAGGCATTTGGCCAGTGTTGGTGCCTATAGATTATGACACGAGTTTTAATTTGATGCTCTGTGAGCAGCCAACTGGGGTTAGAAGGGGACTATTCTGCTGTTTTCTATTTGTGCTGGCAATGTGACTATACTCCTTAAATACACCAGAATAGGAGATATGGTTAATGTAGAGCAATCTCAAGTTAAAGAACATCAGGAATAGTGGTGAGCTGGAAAGAGAGGGTTGAGTTTCACAAAAAATTCTCCCTTCCTCAGCTATTTTTGTGTGAAAGTGTTAATGGGGTTTACTAAAGCAACTTTCAGCCTCTTTGTCTTCCTCTGTTGCACTGCATTGGCAGTTTCCTTGGTTTCATCAGTGATGGGCCAATACATTCGGGCAAATAACTAAGGCATCTCAACTTTGCCCTGTTGAAAAGGCAACCAGGCCGACACATTGTCATGTCTTGACCATTCTGATGATAATCATTACATTTATATCCCATGTTTCCTCCAAGGAACTCAATGTGGTGTACATAGGCTCACAATAACCTTTTAGTAGGTCGGGAGAGAAATTCCATTTAGTTTGCATTTAAAGGTGAATCCAGCTACCTTACACTTTCTGAAGCAATACATGAACTGAAACACAGGTCTTAGTATAACCACTACACACCACACGTGGTGGCACTCTGGTCTAAACCATTGAGTGTCTTGGGCTTGCCGATCAGAAGGTCAGTGGGTCAAATCCTGGTGACGGGGTGAGCTCCTGCTGCTCTGTCCCAGCTCCTGCCAACCTAGTAGTTCGAAAGCACGCCAGTACAAGTAGATAAATAGGTACCACTGTGGTGGGAAGGTAACCAACGTTTCCATGTGCTCTGGTTTCTGTCACAGTGTTCCGTTGCGCCAGAAGCGGTTTAGTCCTGCTGGCCACATGACCCGGAAAACTGTCTGTGGACAAATGCTGGCTCCCTCGGTCTGAAAGCGAGATGAGCGCCACAACCCCAGTTGCGTAATGAGGGAAACGGCACCAGGTGGCAGCACAGAGGGAAATCACAATAACGGGAAACAGCCATAGAAAAAGAATATTGGGGTTTTTTGGGGGGTGGAATAAGACTGAAATCCTACGTGCACTTACTATTTAAAGAAGTGTGACTTAATTCCAGGTGGGTATGTATAGAGTTGTACTACATGTCTTATTAAACTCAGTGAGGCTCATCTCTGAATAGGTTCCTTTAATGTTGTCTCAGTTCTGGCCTTGTGGGAGGGGAAATGGCGGAGGTCGTAATAAGCTGGCAGTTCCAAGGTTTTAGTTTGCCACACAACACAATAGACCCTAGCTGTTACTCTTAGCCATGTGTTTTTGTGTAACTCAATGTACTTCTTGCTCTATAAGCTCCTCCAGTATAATGGAAGTTTGGTTGCTTCCAGATGGGTGCTTATTGTTTGATCGGTGCTCCTCGTGCATGGAAATTCCCCACAGCTTCCATATGTTGGCATCAAACTGGTAGTCTGTATTTTCCCCTCACTTAATCCTGATGGGCCCTTTCCACGGAAAATACAACCAGTTATTTTAAAAGGGAACCTGTTTCCAAAAACCCATTTACAACATCTGTACGGTCCTTCTACAGCAGGCATTTCCAAACTCGACCCTCCAGATGTTTTGGGACTACAACTCCCATCATCCCTAGCTAACAGGACCAGTGGTCAAGGATGATGGGAATTGTAGTTCCAATACATCTGGAGGGCTGAGTTTGGGGATGCCTGCTCTACAGTATTAAGCTGCAAGCACCCTTGGTGCTGGCAACCCATACATCTGGATACTCTTGCTAATTCATTAAAAATGTTGAGGCATAAGGGATCTTGCGTGAGTGCAAGCAGTTGCACTGAAAGATCTTCCAGCTTTCTGAGATACTACTACCTGAAAAATGTGGTTGTTGAAAAACAAGCATGAGGAAATTCATACAGCACTTTCTGTCTTTGGCATGAACCAAAGTACTGCCACTCATTAGGCATCGGCCAAAATAAAGGCAGGCTAATTAAAGGATGCAGATTACAGGCCTGGGAGCAGAAGGAATTCAGGGAGCCATTCATTGCTTCTGAGCTACAGTGTTGAACTGGGTCCATTAATTTACTGATAGCTGAATCAAACAATGCTCAGCGGTCCCACATTTCTAAGCACTGTTTTGGAAAGCACCACATCCCTGTAAAAACACAACATCTAAAAGGGTTGCCATCTAAAGCTGCTCCTTAACGCACTGATGGAGCTGACATTTTCCCACAGCAAACAACAATGGTCTAAAAGGGGCATGCTATTTTCAGAAAAATGGCAAGCAACCCTCTTTTTTAAAAAAACCATTCCCCAGATGAAAACATGTAACTTAGGCAAGCTGAATTGCTTAACCACCTTTCAGGATTTAATCCAAATACATTCAAAACACTACAAAACACTTGCCAATTTTGCTTTAAGGACAATAAATACACCATCTTTGTGAATGCAGAGGTATTTTGAAATCGGGGCCACTGCTGGAACAATCACCGTGGCAATGAAGCAGCAACACAACCATGTTATTGCAAGATCTATGACTCACCACAAGAGGTCACCTGAAGCACAAAGTGAAAGTCAGAAATAATTGGCTCGAAGGCACTATTCACATTTGACTTCTCAAGTGTGTGATAAATATATCCAAGAGCTTTGTAATTTCTCTAGTTTATCCATCACAGGGCAGGGGGCTATTTTTAAAACCGTTAAGTATTATATTTGCTACTATTTTTTAAAAATCCATCTTAAATATAGATATATATATATATATATATATATATATATATTATTATTACAGATTCCTTATTGGTGCTGCCTGGGAACTTGACCCGAGGGCAAAATTCAAAAGCAAGTCCCTTTGAGTAATCTCCATGCTACTGATGGGGATGCCCTTGTTTTCATTTGCACCAGTGAACTTCTGGGTAGATTTGAATCCAAGCGACAAATCCCAAACTATAAGGCAGCCTGCACACTGGAACAAATTAAAACCACCTTTCTTGCTTTTATGCTTTTAAAAATATAGGCCTGCCAACATTTCCCTGTGTTGCTGAAGTATCGTATTTTACTAATGCTTTCATGTCATATTGACATTCAATCCAAAGCACATATTGGCCTATATTTAGAGCCAGCTCTTTCTTAGCTTTTATATAAGGACTCAGTACTGTACCACAAGGGTTGGACTCCAACTCTCATCCAGCCACCCCAGCCAGCATGACCAATGGTCAAGGATGCTGGGAGCTGTAGCCCATAAGCACTTGGAAACATTCCCCACTCCTGCCATATAAGAAGAGTGTTAGCAGTCGGCCAAGGATGCGACTCAAGAGCTAAGGGGTTGGTCAGGTTGGATCCCACCAAGGGTGGAAGTCCAGTGGGGGGGCACACAAATCGTGCCTCTCTGGCTCTCGGAGTGGCTAGGAGCGCACCTGCCCGCTCCCTGGGCTGCCTTATAACGAGTCAGCCCATTGGTCCATGTGCTCAGTATTGTCAACACTGACTGGTCATGACTGCCTCCCCCCAGGTTTGAGACAGGGTATTCTCAGCCCAACCTATAGATGCTGAGGGTTGAATCTGGGGTCTTCTGTATGCAAACCAGGTACTCTGCCAGTGAGTTTTGGCTCAGTAATTTCTATTTCTCACTCTGCCAGTGAGTTTTGGCTCAGTAGTTTCAACAGCACTTTTCATTCAGTTAGAGCTCAGATACTCAACAAATAACTCGGAGGCCACATTAACCTTATACTGACCTCTGTTGGTAGGCACGCCTTTGCAAACACCCTAAATTGAGTTCTAATTAATATTTTCTGCAAGGAAGAGGAATATATCAGAAAAGAATAATATCTCCTTTAAGAATGTATGGGTTCAGTGGTGACTCTGCAATAGTTTTCCTTATTCGAAAGTCTTCATTCAGTGTCTATTCTAGAAACAGTCCATTGTGGAAGTATCTCTCATTTTTTGATATTTTGATTTTTTTAAAAAAGAGGGGTTTAAGTGGGTCAAGTACAGCCTGTAAGCCCCAACGCACTCCTTAGCATTCCAGAGTTACTATGGAAGTTTTCCACTGAAGAGAGGGGATTTTAAATGTAAGAGCAGCCATGCCATGTGGAAAAGCAATGGAGGCTCCTAATGCTTGGTTGAGCTGAAATAACAAGCACTGCTGATGAAAAACCCAGCTAAAAAGAAATTAAATAGTTCTTCTCTATTCAGCAGCCATCCACTCAAGAATGTCTTTTCTCCAGCTTCAGGCTTTGCCTAACTCAGTAAAATCTTCTGGAGCTGTGCTATATCTCAGAGATGGTGGTTAAGTATATAATAATAGTCCTACTATTAATAATAATAATAATAGGCAGATGAGTGCAAAAAGAATTCACCCTAAATGGGGGGGGGGGGGGGAAGCATAGTACACAAAGGCCAAAAATTACAGCCACCAAGGAATCTTGCTGCAGCTTACACATCTGTTTCTATCATTAGAATTGTAGCTGCCACTCATAGAACAATAATTTTTATGTCCTTATGGGTTTGCCTGCAATTTAGATGGCAAATATAATAAGAAACACTGAAACAATAACATGAGGTCATGAATTAACCGTTCAAGGGCTGACTCAAGATTTGCTAAGACTTTAGAATGTTGCTTTAGCACACTCTCAGTTGCTTGGCACTGATGATACCCGTGAAAATAGTATGCAGATGTATGTTAATGACATGTACCTAAGCTTACAATTCAGCCACACCCTCTTTATTTTTGATATGGCTCTTCTGCCTAGAATTCCCACAATGGAACCAAGGAGTTTTCCCACACCGTTAGTTATGGACTCTGGTCCAGACTTCTATCATTGCTGCACTTCTGTACTGCACCTATGACATTTTCTGAAAGCTCTTAATTTTATTTGGGGGGGAAATACACTTCTTTCCGGGGACGCGGGTGGCGCTGTGGGTTAAACCACAGAGCCTAGGACTTGCTGATCAGAAGGTCGGTGGTTCGAATCCCCGCGATGGGGTGAGCTCCCGTTGCTCGGTCCCTGCTCCTGCCAACCTAGCAGTTCGAAAGTGCAAGTAGATAAATAGGTACCACTCCGGCGGGAAGGTAAACAGCGTTTCCGTGCGCTGCTCTGGTTTGCCAGAAGCAGCTTTGTCATGCTGGCCACATCACCTGGAAGCTGTACGTCGGCTCCCTCGGCCAATAAAGCGAGATGAGCGCCACAACCCCAGAGTCGGTCACGACTGGACCTAATGGTCAGGGGTCCCTTTACCTTTGCACTTCTTTCCCTGATGCATCCTCACCTGTTGTAAACCTTGTGTCAACTGCTCCATGGGAAAGTACCATAGGCTCTCTATTGCAGGAGTAGGAACCTGATTTCAGAAGAGCATGAGATGTCAACTGTCCATGGTTCCTTGGGCAATTTTGAATGACAGATCATGTGAGAATGAGCTAGTGTGGACATCCAAAGATTATTAGATCTTCTTGGCCCTTTAGTTTTGTTTCATTTCACAGCTTGTCACCACATCTTTTTCTCTTTTTTTATGAGTAGCAATGCTACAGAGCCTTCATCACCTCTGAAAGGCAGCTGCTTTCCTATGGTTCCATTAACACACAGTATTATCTTTATTTTTAAAGCCAACAAAGCATCACACTGCCAGATAACACATAACACTCATGTCATGACCTAACCTTCCCTCACTCCAGTCAAATATTTAGCAATATACCACCTTTTTAAAATTTAAAGTAAATAAAGAGTTGAAGGCGGAGGGGAAAACGTAAGCAGGAACTCGATCAGTTCTGACATATTCACAATTCGTAAGTGGGGTGCCACAGGGATCTATCCTGGGCCCGTTGTTGTCCAACGTCTTTGAAAATGACTTGGATCAAGGAATTGAGGGGGTGCTCATCCAATTTACAGATGACACCAAACTGAGAGGGTTGGCTAATGCCGCAGATGACAGAATCAGAATTCATGATGGCCTTAACTGATTGGGGAACTGGACCAAAACGTACCAAATGGATTTCAATATGGACAAATGTAAGGTTCTACACTTAGGCAGGCATAACCAGCTGCAGAAACAGAAGATGGGAGGACACCTGGCTTGCCAGGGGTACATGTAATAAGGATCTAGAGGTCTTGATAGACCACAAGCTTAACGTGAGTCAATGGAGTGATGTAGCAGCAAAAAAAAAAGGCTAATGCTATTCCAGGAGGACCTTTGTGAAAGTAAGCGCTGTTTGACAGTGGAACAGATTCCCTCAGAAAGTGGTGGACTCTTTCACTGGAGGTTTCAGGCAGATGTTGGATCTGTCATGGATGCTTTAGTTGAGATTCCTACATTGCAGGGGGTTGGACTAGATAACCCTCAGGATCCCTTCCAACTTCACAATTCTACAATTCTATGGCCGTTGCCGTCAGTAATCAGGAAGGGTTGACAAAATAGAAACAGACATCCAAACTTAAAGCTGCTGTAGTACTTTCCACTCAGTTGCAGCAGCACCTCTTGAAATTCTTCCCCCCTTTTTTTTATAAAGAGCAATTCAATGAACAGGTTTCCATGACTTCATATAGATACTTCACTGAAAATAACCACCTTCCACTTATGTCACTAATCCTCATTGAAGCTATGAAAATGTAGCATTTCCTTGAGCTGTACAACAAACAGAGAGTAAGGCCTGATGGTGAAATGTCAGCTGCAATCTGCTATGACAGCAAAGGGTTCTTGCTTGCAGGGGGAGGTCGGAAGTGGGAAATGGTCAAAACTCCAGCATGCCTTGTTAAACTCTTTCCTATTGGAATCGCCCTTAGCTGATGTGTGGCACTGCTGGAATTACTGGGTCATCAAAAACAAAGCTTTCTTTTTGTGGAGGAATGCATCAACACCTTAACTTGTAGCTTGTCAGGAATAAAGGTGCTTGTACTATACTTTGGGCCAAAAGAGTTATTTTCTATAGCTTTGCATTGAATTAATTATTATTGTAAATCTCCTGTAAAGGTAAATGTACCCCTGACCATTAGGTCCAGTCGTGGACGACTCTGGGGTTGCGGCGCTCATCTTGCTCTATAGGCCGAGGAAGCTGGCGTTTGTCCGCCGACATCTTCCAGGTCATGTGGCCAGCATGACTAAGCTGCTTATGGTGAACCAGAGCAGCGCATGGAAATGCCATTTACCTTCCCGCCAGAGCGGTATCTATCTATCTCCTTGCATTTTGACGTGCTTTTGAACTGCAAGGTGGGCAGGAGCAGGGACCGAACAACAGGAGCTCACCTTGTCGTGGGGATTCTAAGCGTTGACCTTCTGATCGGCAAGCCCAAGGCTCTGTGGTTTAGACCACAGTGCCACCCACGTCCCTTTACCTTCTTTTAATTGTTTTTTCCTTTACAAATATTAGCACTCATCACAATTTAAAATGGGCAATTCTTTATAATATTTCTCCTAGTAACAACAGATATGGATTAACTGGATCTTGTACTTCATTGTTCCAACAAATGATAACCAAACTCAATTTTTTCTACAAATATTGTCATTCATTTTGCCTTCTTTTTCTCTAATTGTGCCTGTCAGCTTGACCATATATAGACAATTTCCCATACCTTAGCAATCCAAGTGTCTATAGGTGGTGGTTTAGGTTTTTCCCCATGTTTTGACAAATTAGCATTCTAGCTGACATTAATAAATAAGACTACCTTTTCAAAATCTTCATCTGATGTAGTAGCTCTAAGATAACCAAACAAAATCCCAACTTGATCCCATAACCAAGGATACTTCTTATTTCTTGTAAAACAGCTTGCCAAAAGGTCTTAATTATGGGACATTCCCATAGCACATGATCTGTACTGGACGCTTTACATTTCCAACAATGATCAGTCCAAGTTGGATAAATTCTATTCAGTCTGGCTGGAATTAAATCCCACTGAGTGATGGTTTTACTAAGAAAAATCCTGAAGATTCTTACAGAAGGTAAATCATGGAATATTTTTCCATATCCATTTTTCTACTGGTATTATTCTTAGAATGTCTGCCTTCCATTTTGCCTGGCAATGGTTACTAAGCATTTCTGATTCTGCAATGATTTTACAAATTTGTGCTAAAGTTCCTGGCAAGTGATTTACATTTGTAATTAACAGTTCAAAAATTTTATAATTTAATCTGTATCTTCTTTTTAAGTTATTTAACATATGCTTTATTTGTAAATACTGAAGAAAACCAGCTGTTCTATTTGGTGGCATTTTGACTAATCAATCTTTCATTGAGTTTCTTTGTTTGACCAGCCTACTTTGCTTTCAGTTTCACAAGTGATTTCAAACTAAACTATTAGGTGAATTATTGTTAACAGTAATGATGATCAGGCAGCAATGAAAACAGGTAATATAAAATATAGGAGGAGACTAGGATACATACTTTTTAACAGAACATGTGGGTATAAAACGGAGCTATTGTGCAAAGGAAAAAACAATCCTCCTTTCTCTTTCTCTCACTCACTCACACACTTCAAAGTACTTGGAATACCCACTCTTAACAGGCATCCTTTAACTGCAGCTGTGCAAACAATGATCTGCTCCATTGGCCATTCAAAAACCCTTACAAAACCCAGTTATCTTCCAAAATCTCTAGGAACACCAAGGCTGCTGTGTCAGAGGTCCTCTTGGGAGCCAAATTCAATAAGGTGAATCTTTTATTAAAGACACTGGTCCCTGTCTAAGCCAATGTGCATATATATATATGTCTGTACAAAATTTATTCACGCGGCGCATTATTGCAATTGACTCAGTATTCATCTCATAATTTAATTCGCTGTGTACAATTATTTATGGTGCGAAGCATGTAGACAGAGACTCCCTCTCCCTTTCTTGCAGTACTGAACCTCAGCTCACTGGAGCTGAAGAGTGATGAGATTTGTCAGGACAGACAAAAGGCAGCATGCAGTGAAACTACAGAATTCAGTGCCACAGGATTTGGTGGTTACTTGCTCATGCAAAGTAAAGCAGGAGAAGGCTATCAATGGTTAGTAGGATCAGAGGCAGCTTGCCTCATTTACAAGCTGTTGGGAGACAACAATATGAGTGATGGCTACTGCCGATATGCCTTGCTTTGACCTTGTGTGGGGGAAGGGAGGTGTGGCCATCACCTGCCCCTCCATGCTTAAGGGTATTCCATTAAAGGAATCCCGGGGTGTTGATCTAGTCTGAAGCCCTGCTGGGGGGCTAAGGCCTTGACACGACCCCAACGGGAACACCAGGGGGAGCTTGAGTTGGTTCGCATCGACAGCCCCCCCCCCCACCGGTGGCTTACCCTTACTTGGACTTCTTGCACAATGGGCAGGAGTCAGATATAGTCAGGTCCAATCAATGCCTAAGCCAATACCACTCACATTCTGTAATTTCAATACAGTGGTACCTCGGGTTAAGTACTTAATTCGTTCCGGAGGTCTGTTCTTAAGCTGAAACTGTTCTTAACCTGAAGCACCACTTTAGCTAATGGGGCCTCCTGCTGCTGACATGCCGTCGGAGCCTGATTTCTGTTCTCATCCTGAAGCAAAGTTCTTAACCTGAAGCACTATTTCTGGGTTAGTGGAGTCTGTAACCTGAAGCGTATGTAACCTGAAGCGTATGTAACCCGAGGTACCACTGTAAAGTTGTGGCCAAAATTTGCCCAATAACATAAACCTAATATCCGTGTCCTTGTGTGAGTTATTTCCAACGAGGGGGGGGGAGGGGCTGCAGGGTCTCGACACGCAACAATATGAGTGATGGCTATTGCCGATATGCCTTGCTTTGGGGCTCTCCATAAGTAGCTGGTTAGCTACTGTGGGGAAGAGAATGCTGGACTAGTGATAAGACAGCTTTCATTTTATGTTCATTGCTCCCACTGCATAAGGGGACATTTATTAAATGGCCTAGTTTTCACATAACATTAAGCCATGATTGTTTAACAAACCACAGGCTAGCCTCCAGATGATCAAACAAACCATAGCCTGTCTCTTCAAAGCTTGATCTGCCGTCTATCTGCTCTTACACCTTATAGTTTCGCGAACTTCTGGGGTGTGGTGGTCAAACAAACTATGGTTAAAGAAATGTGGATGGGTTTGATCAAGCATAATGCCAAGCCATACTTAAAACAAACCACAGTTTGTAAGAAGCTATGGCTTCAGATCATGGTTTATTGGCAGTAGAGAAACCAAAGGTAGGTAGCTGTGTTGGTCTGTCGTAATAAATAACAATGATGTAAGATTTTTTAAAAAATTATTGAAAGATGTTCCAGTAGCACCTTAAAGACCAACTAAGTATAAACTTTCTCAGTGTGAGCTTTCTTGTGTATACACACTTCTTCAGATTCTCTGAAGGAGAGGTCACTATAACCTTATAACTGTTGGTGACTGTTAATGATGGCAGTTGGTTCCACAGGGAAGGGCAAGGGATTTTTAAAGGGAAAGATGATCAAAATTAGCTTTAGCATGTACAATGGGACATGAATCCAATCTCTCTATTCAGACCAGGTCTCTCCATAGTTTTTAGCTTGGTAATGAGTTGTAATTCAGCAACTTCTCTTTCAAGTGTATTTCTAAAATTATTTTGCAATAAGACAGCTACTTTAAGATCTTGTATAGAATGTCCTGGGAGACTGACGTGTTCTCCTATTGGTTTTTCTGTTTTATGATTCCTGATGTCAGATTTATGTCCATTTATTCTTTGGCGTAAGGTTTGTCCTGTTTGTCCAATATAGAGAGCTGAAGGGCACTGTTGGCATTTGATAGCATATATAATGTTGGAAGATGAACACTTAAATAGGCCTGAGATTCTATGATTCTATGATGTTACTGGGGCCAATAATGATGTTGTCCGGGTGTATGTGGCAGCAAAGTTGGCATCTAGATTTATTACAAAGTTAAGTATGTGGGAAGTGAGAGCTGGACCATAAAGAAGGCCGATCGCCGAAGAACTGATACTTTTGAATTATAGTGCTGGAGGAGACGAGAGTCCCATGGACTGCAAGAAGATCAAACCTATCCATTCTTAAGCAAATCAGCCCTGAGTGCTCACTGGAAGGACAGATCCTGAAGCTGAGGCTCCAGTACTTTGGCCACCTCATGAGAAGAGAAGACTCCCTGGAAAAGACCCTGATGTTGGGAAAGATGGAGGGCACAAGGAGAAGGGGACAACAGAGGATGAGATGGTTGGGCAGTGTTCTCGAAGCTACCAGCATGAGTTTGACCAAACTGCAGGAGGCAGTGGATGACAGGTGTGCCTGGTGTGCTCTGGTCCATGGGGTCACGAAGAGTCGGACACGACTAAACGACTAAACAACCACAAGTATGTGGGCATGGTTGGCACATAATGCTAAGCCAGTTTAATAAACCATGGTTTAGTACGATGTGCAAACCAGGTGAAAATGTTTGTTACAGGGGTACCTCAGAAAATGCCTTCCCAATGACAACTGCTCCAAAGTTTTTGAAATGTGTGATGTGGCCAGTCCACTGCAAATTTCCTCCATGCCCCGTTAGTGGCATGAGACAGAGCTGTGTTTAAGTGGCTCCTGGGCTGCCAGCTAATGTACTATTTGTCTTGGAAATTCCATAAAACTAAAAAAAAAATAGTCTTCTAACACCTGAATCCTGGACATATTTACTCAGAGGGCCTTGGATCCAGGAAAGGATGCCTAGTATTTCAATCTGCTTGAAGCACAAGTAGACTGCACCAACCATGTTCCCGTAAGCTCTCTTTTCTAAAGCACATTTCAAATTTAAAACTTTTCTCTTAGGCTTTGAATCAGTGCCTGACCAAGGTCCATTTCCATGCCTATGTATGCTATATAAATCAATTTCTATGTAAGCCCCAGAGCAAAGAGGCACGCTATGGAGAAGGAGTTTTATGTTCTCCATTACTTTAACTATTTCAAAAGCAGCCTTGTTAAAAAGAGAAAAGAGCTCAAACTATGAAATCATTTCCTTCTGTTTAAAATATTTTACTCCGAGGGGGGAAAACACAAAAAGAGCATGAATGGGGAGGGGGGCATCTCTTCTGTTTTGACTTTGCCCCAAGATTAAACATTTCAGCAATTCTGTGGGATGATGCAGTGTGCCAGCTCCCGACTGCTCCAGCAAGAGGCTCAAGTCATCTTAGTCATAAGTCAAAACAATGAACCCTCTTGTGAAACTCGATTGGATCCCACATCACTCATGCTACCAGGAGCAGATTCCCCCCCCCCCCATCTGGAGAAGGGAAACCATCCTATTGGAGCAAAGCAAGGCTGTAAAAGAGATGGCAGGCACAATGTTAGGCATTTACTGGGCAGATAAACAAGATTCTCTTGTTTGGCCCTTCTATGAGTACAGAGGGGATGGATGAAAACGCTTTTCTGTTCAATGGAAAGATCCGAGCCCCCCCCCCCAACTATACTAAAAAGGGAATTACTTCAGAGAGAAAGAAAGAGAAGTTGCCTGTATACAATGTGGGTTTAAATGGATTCACAGGCTCTTCAAAAACGAAAGCACTTAACCTCTGATCTTAAACTCATTGCACAAAAGCACATCTCCATGACATGAGTGCAGCTTCCTTTTTGAAGAGCCGCCATATTCTATACATGCAAGTGAAGATCATATTTCGATTGTCGTTAGGACGCCTCCTCTTTCAATATTCAAAAACTATTGCGATGGCTGAATGACTTGCCGCATCTCCCGATTACGTTCCTAGCTGCGTGAAGGGAGAACTCACACACTTCTTCATTCTGTCACATGCAGGCCACGACTCTAAGGCATTCTTTGCCACACATTCATGCAACAGACATTAAAACGCCATTTATCCAGTAATCGGATTTGGTGTCTACCTAATTCTCCCAATATAAAAAGAGTTAAGGCAGCTCAAACTTTGTTTAAAAGCTAGCTGCGGGGACTTTTCCTTTAAAAGAACACAAATATTTATTTTCCCCCTTTCCTCCTTCGCAGCAAGAGCCTTCATTTTGTCTCAGATAACAGATGCAACAACCAGGTGCTGGGGCAATGGAGAAGCCAGAGTACTTCTCTCTCTCTCCACACAGTATTGTATACAAGGTTTACTGATGCATAAAGCCAAAAGTTTATTTGGAAAAATCCATGCAACATGCGGATAAACATTCAGTAATCTTTTCCACACGCATGTCTGAGAGCATATATTAGGCCTATTTAGCTTTTCCAAAACTAGGAAATACAGTCTTGGCAGAGACAGATCACTAACATTGCCATTCATGCTGTACAGAAAGAAATGCCTGAGGTAGAATGCAGAATTTTCCACTCATTTGCTCTTTCAGTGATGGCAGCTCTTTAAAAATGAGGGATAATTGGCAGGTTGACCTTCTACTCAGGAACTCCATTAAAACATTTCAGTTTGGAAGAACCAAAGGGCTTGATAAGTTATGGAAGCCTAAATCTGAAAGTCCAAACAGAAAGTATTATGCTCCCACTTCCCTGAAGCCTACTAAACTGGTGATGAACACCATACAGCCATGCTTCTGACACTGAAAAATAATGTATACTTGGGGTACTATTCAAATTTGTTAATTGTCTGAACAAAAACTACAGCTTTTGGTTGACAGGCAGATATTGGGTAGCCAGTAGAATGTGGTGCTTAGAGTCCAGTTTCAGACTAGGACTGAGGAAGCCTAGTTAAAATTCCCAAGCAGCCATAAAACTCACAGGGCTAGTTATAGTCTCTCAGTCTAACCCATGGGTAGGCAAACTAAGGCCTGGGGGCCAGATCTGGCTCAATCGCCTTCTAAATCCGGCCCACGGATGGTCTGGGAATCAGCGTGTTTTCGCTTGAGTAGAATGTGTCCTTTTATTTAAAATGCATCTCTGGGTTATTTGTGTGGCATAGGAATTAGTTCATTCCCCCCACAAAAGAAATATATTCCGGCCCTCCACAAGGTCTGAGGGGCAGTGGACCAGCCCCCTGCTGAAGAAGTTTGCTGACCCCTGGTCTAACCTATCTCACAGGTCTGTGAAGATAAAATGGGAAAACCACATACAGCACCTTCAGTTCATTGGAAGAAAGGTAAAGAATATAAACCTAATAATAAACAGTGCTATACAGTGGTACCTCGGGTTAAGTACTTAATTCGTTCCGGAGGTCCATACTTAACCTGAAACTGTTCTTAACGTGAAGCACCACTTTAGCTAATGGGGCCTCCTGCTGCTGCCGCGCCGCCGGAGCATGATTTCTGTTCCTATCCTGAAGCAAAGTTCTGAAGCACTATTTCTGGGTTAGCGGAGTGTGTAACCTGAAGCGTATGTAACCCGAGGTACCACTGTATTCAGATATGATGTGACAGATCTCAGTAGATATTTATTCTCAATGTGTTCAGAACTCTGTAGAAGTGTTTACAAGTTTTTAATTATAAAATTGCTTAAGCTTTCGTAGAATTCTAAAAATATGGTCTCAGGAAACCATCAAACACATTTCTTTCTTCTCCTTATTAAAGAAAACTACCATATTGGCCTGAATATAACCCACGCTATTTTCCAAAATTCCAACAGTGAAAAGTTTTAAAGCGGCTTATATTCATGACCTTATGGCACCGGCAAAGCGGCGTGGCTCGCCCTCCCCAGAGAGCAGCCTGGGACAGTGGGGCAATGGCACACAGTCCGCCCACCGCTCCCAAGCTTTCTCTAAGCCGTTGGAAAGAAGGAGGAAGGAAGTAGCACAGATACTGTATTTTTTCTCTCCCCCCTTCAATTTAAAAGGTGCGACTTATTTGCGGGTACGGCTTATATTTGGGCCAATACGGTAATGTTTTTATCTTATATATTTAAAAGTAATTATCACCTCTGAAAAACCAGGCAACCTCTTCTTGTAAGCCATCAAAACAACATTTGCACTTGGCATCCCATGGTGTTTGTGTAAAAGGTAAAGGGACCCCTGACCATTAGGTCCAGTCGTGACCGACTCTGGGGTTGTGGCGCTCATCTCGCTTTATTGGCCGAGGGAGCCGGTGTACAGCTTCCAGGTCATGTGGCCAGCATGACTAAGCTGCTTCTGGCGAACCAGAGCAGTGCACAGAAACGCCGTTTACCTTCCCGCCACAGTGGTACCTATTTTTCTACTTGCACTTTGACGTGCTTTCAAACTGCTAGGTTGGCAGGAGCAGGGACTGAGCAACGGGAGCTCACCCCGTCGTGGGGATTCGAACCGCCGGCCGTCTGATCGGCAAGTCCTAGGCTCTGTGGTTTAACCCACAGCGCCACACGCTGTTTAAACACGCCACCCGTGTTTGTGTAGTGCAGTCTTAAACATGCTTATTTAGGTCCATCTGCGCTATGTAATGACTGCTGAAATTGGTATAATACTGCTTTAAGCGCATGGTGCAGATGGGGCTTTAGATAGCGACCGGGTGGTAGCACTCACCTGACCCCAGGTTGTCTGTGTCACTTCTGCTTTCTAGGAGGTAGAGGGGCAAGGGGGTGGTGAGGTGCAAGAGTGCCAGACTGGCTCTGTTGGTGTATTTGCAGTGTTGGCCTTGCCCCTGCACCTCCACCTTCAGGTAAGTGGCGGTGATGCAACTGATGAGGGATCAGGTGAGTGTTGTGGCTGCACCATGCTATCCGCTACTGCTTAGAAGTAAGCAGTACTTCTAAGTGCAGCACAATTCCGAACTTGTTTACTCAGAAGTTAATCCAACTCAAAACAACAGGCCTTACACCTTAATAAGTGGAATTAAATTTTCCCCATTTGTGTTGATATTTATGTCCTGTCTTTCTATGCCAAAGGCGATGTCAACTTAGTATCTCTCCTTGAAATTAGTTTTCACTCATAGTCAAACACCAGTTCCTGAAAATCCTCTTCTTTAGTTTTAACTTCCAAGATTTTTAGCATAACACGTTCAAACAGCTGCCTAAGTTTCCTGTATTTCTTACAGTATTGCTTGCAGATATGTTAAGGGGAAAAGAGGGATAATCTTCTTTTCTATAGCTAGCAAAGTTATTGTTAACAGCTTCATAAACAGAAGTACATCTCAGTCCCACAGACAATAATTAGTAAAGGATAATGGACCATGATTAAATTCACATCCCTGTGCATGTAAACACTGGAGAGAGACTGTAAAATGAGGGCTGATGCTGCTGAGAGCTATGTGTGTGTTTAAATATTTTGAAAGCCACAGCACGTGCTGGCTCCGGTCCTAACAATTACTATCAAAACAATGTAAGAATCATCACTGTTACTTAGTGAGGCTTAGTCGGGTATGACTAACATTAACATGCAAAGCCTTTGTTATATTTTCAGCAGGGGAAAATGAGCATTTCACTCCTATTAACTGCCTGAATGTACATCCAGCTTTCAGAATGTAGTTATCTTCATACTGAACCAACAGAACAAAAGGATGCTGAATAATAGCCAGCAAACCATCTGGTGCCAAGACATGCTAAACTGCACATGCTAGGCATTAACTATCAAACAAAAAGACCCTAATATAATATCTGCAGATAGTTATTTTGTTGTATACCATACCAGTGCCGAGGGCCTTCTGGTGGTTCCCTCGCTGCAAGAAGCCAAGTTACAAGGAACCAGGCAGAGGGCCTTCTCGGTAGTGGCACCCGCCTTGTGGAACGCCCTCCTCCCACCAGATGTCAAAGAGAAAAACAACTACCAGACTTTTAAAAGACATCTGAAGGCAGCCCTGTTTAGGGAAGCTTTTAATGTTTAACAGACTATTGTTTTTTAATATTTGGTTGGAAGCCGCCCAGAGTGGCTGGGGTATTAATAATAATAAATAAATAAATAAATAAATAAATAAATAAATAAAAAACATGAAATGGCCTTTCTTATGCCTTAAAAGTTAAGTGTACCTTCCAATGAGCAAGGAGGAAGTCAATGCAGTGAGCCTCCTTTCCACAGTACAGTGGTACCTCAGGTTAAGAACTTAATTCGTTCTGGAGGTCCGTTCTTAACCTGAAACTGTTCTTAACCTGAAGCACCACTTTAGCTAATGGGGCCTCCTGCTGCTGCCACGCCGCCAAAGCACGATTTCTGTTCTCATCCTGAAGCAAAGTTCTTTACCCGAGGTACTATTTCTGGGTTAGCGGAGTCTGTAACCTGAAGCGTCTGTAACCCGAGGTACCACTATACTATATTAGCATCAATAGCTGGAGCTCATGTGGAAGGCCTTCCACGATTGCAGCGGCACTTCCACCTGCATGATAAATGCTGGATACAGCTGGGGTGCAGGACGGAGGGAAGTTAACTCTGTAACTTGTACAATTTAGAACGCTGGTGTTAAGTGTTGGTGAAAATGATCTTATAAAAATAGGAATGCAAACTGAGCAAGTCATTCATCCCAGCAGTCTATGACTTGGAAGACTTAGAAGTAAACAGTCACAGAACAAGGCACAACTGAAATGTGTATTTTACATCATGAAATACTTTTAACACGCAGCATTTTCTTGAAATGCAATGCAACAAGAGTATTGGCGGGGAATGAGTCCTCCACCTTCCCAGCAAGGATTGAATGGTGTCCCATTTGGGATGGCTGTGAGAAAAGAAAATCTGCCAAACATACTCACCAAGCACAATGACCACAGTCTTCAGAAGACTCATCATGGTATCCCGATTCCTACGTGGTCCAGAACTATGCCTAGACATTCTCATAGTCCTCTGGCGCACGTACCCAAAGATATGAGCATACAAGACCACCATGACTACAAAGGTGACCAGGTTGAAAATAGCCCAGAAGACCAAGTAAGAGTCACTATAGAGTGGTGCCATGTTGGAACAGTGGGCGAGGTCACAGATGCAATTCCAGCCCACGCTTGGTATGGCGCCCATGACAATAGCCATAGTCCAAATGACAACAATTACCACCACCACGCGCCGATTACTCATCCGGGTATGTAGCTGCATGCGGAACACTGTGATGTGCCTCTCAATGGCGATAGCCAGCAAGTTGGCAACAGAGGCTGTCAGGCTAGTGTCAATGAGACCCTGGCGAAGGAGCCAGGTGCTTACAGTCAGTCTTCTAGTGTTGGGTCCTGTGTTAAACATTAGGTAAAAATACGCCAGCCCTGCAAAGAAGTCCGCAGCAGCTAAGTTAGCCATTAGGTAATAAATAGGAAAGTGAAAACGCCTGTTGACGTAGATGGCCACCATAACTAAGAGGTTGGCTAGCATGATGAAGACACATACTGTAATCCCGAGTCCCATCACAAGCTTGCTCACAGTGTTCCATTCAGTGGCTAGGTACTTCCCACTTCTGTTGTAAAAGAAGGCAATGGTTTCGTTGTAGTAGCACTGGGGTTCGCTCATCACTGTAGACTGAAAAGAAGAAGACAGAGCAGAATTAGAAGTTAGGATATGGAAGTACTGCAGTGCTAGAAAACTAAAGACCACAACACCAGGCAATAAAAATCAAAGAACAAAACAAAAGCTTTAAAACTATGGTTATAAAAAAAAGAACGTATGGAAAATGACATGTTGGTGGAGCTGAATCTGTCTAATTTAACAGGTGGTATAGTATATGTCAGCTCTGTAGTCACTGGTATCCATTTCAAATTTACCAATTTTGTTCGAGATACTATTAATATATTTCCACAAGAAGTATATGCATTGAATAGGGATGTCTGGGCTCAGGTCTGGAAACAACGCCTTGCCTCCAAAAAAGAAAAAGGGGAAAAACTCAACACATTCCCAAGCCCCAAGTTATAATCTGAGCCAGAGAAGAATTCCCAGTTCCATGCCTACCCTCCACACCAGTCCATGCAATTCCCAACCCACCTTCCTCCCTCCACTTTAAAGATAACTTACCAGGCTGCTGAAGGTGAGAGAAGTGGTGGGGCAAGGGGGGAGAGATGTGGGGAGGTTTGTGCCACATAACTATGTGCAGGACAAAAGACCTGGTGGACAAGGTGGACCTTGGGAGAAACTGCAGGAGATGTAGCTCATATGCCCAAGAGACTTTAATCTTGTCCTGGAGGGATAGATTCCTCTAATTCTCTCCCCCCATGTGCTGCTGCTTCCAGTGCCACTAAACTTGGCCAGTTATCCTTAACGAGAAGGGCAGTCCAGGGCATGACAAGACTGGGTTGGCTTGGGACTTGTTTTGGAAATATTGTAGCTCAATTCATTTCTGAGCTAAACTGACATGAGGGAGAGGGAGCTTGCCCATCTTTAATAGTAAAGTGTAGTATTGAACAAAAGTTACCTCTATGGGTAAAAAAATATGTAACAGATAAAAGCTTTTCAAGCTTAATTAATTTCCCACCTTGCTGTCTAGTTAGTGGTCAAATAGATTGCGTAAGAATTACAAGCCACCGGAAGAGAAAATTCAGCTACCGTATTTTTTGCTCTATAAGATGCACCAGACCATAAGATGCACCTAGTTTTTGGAGGAGGAAAACAAGAAAAAAAATATTCTGAATCCCAGAAGCAAGAGGGATCTGGCTTCTGGGATAACGTCTGGCTGTTCTGGTTTATGGGATAGCTGCGCACAGCCTCTCCCGGGCAGTGGGAGGAAGGCTCCCTCAAGTGCCGCGCTCCCTTTAAAGAGCACACAAAGTGTGTGTGCGGCTTTTGGGGGCTTTTCCCCTAGGAGGGAGAAGGGCAGCCCTTCTCCCTCCTCGGGGAAAAGCCCCCAAGAGCCGCACACACGCTCCACGCAGCTCTTTACAGGGAACGCTGAGCAGAGCCTCTTGCCTGCATTTGCTCCATAAGACGCACACAGATTTCCCCTTACTTTTTAGGAGGGGGAAAGTGTGCCTTATAGCGCGAAAAATACGGTAATTAGGTTTCACACCAGTACTGCATTAACTATCACTGCGCTACAAGCGTTAAAACTTTTGTTAATAAACAGTTTTATTGTATTTTTCTATAGGTTCAAAACAAGGAAAGCAACAACAAAATCAAAGGAGGGGAAACATAAAAAAGATAAAGAACCAAACATTCCTTTAGGCATGTATGGTACAAAAGGATAGCAATGAATGAATAAAGTAGTTCAGTTACATAGCACCCTCAGAATTAATGTGAGGAAAACAAAAAGTGTCCTGACAATTTAAATATATATCATTCCAGTTTATGTGGGGTAGCTTCTCCCATACAAAGCTAAGGAACATCTTTTGATGAAATTGTTGCATGTTCAGTAGAAATATATTTTTAAACCTTGAAAATTGTGAGATAGGGACTTTTTCTTCTTTGTGAAAGGAATTTAAAAATAAGCAAACTCTAAATACAGTCTATTCAATAAAATATAAGATACACAAACTGTAATTTATTTTAAGAAAATAACAGTATGCCAAATAAGATTCCATTATCCTTCAGTCATTGATCCAGCCAGCTACTATTCCAAAGCAGTCAACAACTGCAAGCAAACAGTCCTTCCAACTAAAGTATTATGTAAAATATGGCCACAGATTTGAACTCCAAGCAGAAGGCATTTTAAGACACCATCTTCTTGATTCTGTTTACTTGTTTTATAAAAAGCAAACCAACTATTAGCCTTTGAAGGAAGTTCTGGTTTCAGCATCTTGGTGTTTGAATCTTGTCTTGCACCTCCTTGCAAGTATTTTAGAAAGCAGAATATTATTGTTCCTATCATCAAGGACGAAAGGAAAAGTTCAAGAAAATCCCATCATCTATTTTCTCCTATTTGCATTTTAGTTTGAAACCTGAGTATATAATATGCAGCAACTGTCGAAGAAAGTCATACGAGCTGGACAGTTGTGTGTGACAGAGGAGCTTGTCCAAAGTGTGCATTACCAAAAAGGGATTTTTAGCAACTGGGAGTCTGTGGAAACAACTGTGTGTCAAGGAGGTCAGAGACCTCTTTGGAAGCTATGATTACAAACCATAAGAGACCCTGTTGGAAGCTATGATTACAAACCTCCACAGACTGCCAGGAAAAAACCAAATAGGGTGTTGACCTTCCTTACTATTTATTCATTGTAAAATTACTACAAAGGAACAACAAAATGAAAATAGCTTGAGAGAGAGAGAAATAGAATATACACAAGGAAGTCATATTGTCCTTAACCCTCAAATGGCTTTTTTCTTGAGAAAGAGTGAAGGAATAGCCTAAACTCAAAGTGCCACATTCCCTAAGGGCTACTTCCAGTATTTTATCACTGTCATTTATACAAATAACATAGCACACTCTTTCATCAGGGCTGACATTGTGTTAAGCTGAATCCAGGGGCAGCATACAAAAATAGTGGTGGCCAAGACAGTTATGACCCACACGACACACACTCCCAAAGAATTTATGTAATCAGCAGAAACCCTACTGTGCTCATCTGGGTTACTCCACCTCTTGCCCTCCCTCCTACCACACTTCCTTTTCTGCTGTGGTGTCAGAAAGCCAAGCATGGGTCTCATTCCCTTAGAGGCGGGACAGCCCTGTCACGCTGCTTCAAACCAGAAAAAAAAATGCACTGCCTATTCAGGCCTTACATAATCAATCAGGCTATGATTTTTAAATGTGGTTAGCATTCTCAAACTCACAGTCTCCAACTATGTAATAAAACATGCTAACTATTATTCTGTGAATTGTTCAGCAAACAGCAAGAGAGAAGTCCATGCCCCACACAACTGGCTTGTAGGGGGGTGGGGAACCGGAAGAACCTCCAGAACAGCAATTGGGGGAGGTATAACAACAACAACAACAACAACAACAACAACAACAACAACAACAACAACAACTTATTTGTACCCCACCCATCTGGCTGAGTTTCCCCAGCCACTCTGGACGGCTTCCAACAAAAATTATGTATGGAATCTCTACAGGGAACCAGGCAAAGATTAAAAATACATTAATATGCCACACATTAAAAACTTCCCTGAACAGGGCTGCCTTCAGATGTCTTCTAAATGTCAGGTAGTTTTTTTATCTCTTTGACATCTGATGGGAGGGCGTTCCACAGGACGGGCACCACCACCGAGAAGGCCCTCTGCCTGGTTCCCTGTAGCTTTGCTTCTCGCAGCGAGGGAACCACCAGAAGGCCCTCGGTGCTGGACCTCAGCGTCCGGGCAGAACAATGGGGGTGGAGATGCTCCTTCAGGTATACTGGACCAAGGCCATTTACGGCTTTAAAGGTCAACACCACCACTTTGAATTGTGCTTGGAAATCACAGTTTATTTTAAAGACTCTCCTCCTGCAAGAAAGGGGAGTGGTTGTGGTCGGGAGCCGGACTCCGCCTCAAGCAGGGGGCGTTAGCCCCCCTGCCTCCCACTCACCAGGCTGGGGCCCACGGCCAGGCACCCAACCAGGTGCCTGCGAGGGGGGTGTTTAGCAGCCTAAATTGCTGTGGCGCCAGACTTCCGGCCTCACTTTTCGTCGTCCCATCGCGAGTCACCCACCCTCCACTCCCTTAGAGCCCAGGGTCTCAGTTTTTCTTTTGGCCTTGCTATGGACCTTAGGTTGGTCGCCCTGGTTGTCCGGGGGGCCTGGTAGGACGTTTTCCATTTGGCATTAGGCTTTTTGGTTTTTTCACCTACCTCATAGCAATCGTCACAACTTTTGTGGTATTGGTGGGTAGGTTAGGCATTGGAATAATGTGTTGTGGTGTGTCAAAGGGCTAGGTGTGGCCATCGCCTGCGCCTTCAATTTTTGGGTATTCCGTTAATGGAATCTGGCGGTCGTGTATTCTGTCCGATGCCTGCGTGGCGGGAGGCCGTGGCACGACCCTCGGTGACATCAGGGGAAAGCTTATAGTTGGATTAGCATCAACAGGCTCCACCAACTGGTGAATAAACCCCCCTGTTTGAGACTCACCCCTCTCTGAGGGGCTGGAGTCAGCTGACGTAATCCAATGCCTAAGCCAATACCTTTTTACTTGCTGTAATCAATAAAGTTGTGGCCTTTTCTTGCCCATTAACCGTATATCACGTGTCCTTGTGTTTTCATTCCATTATGCGGGGATCGGGTCCTTGAAACACAAACATTTGCTCTTCTTCAACTTCAGAGAAACAAACCACAAATAATGAGAAGGCCGTCTTGTAGTTTGTTTCCTCTGGTACACCAGGAGTAGGGGTGGAACAACTTATTTTAAATTATGGTATAAAGTGATGTGCAAGTGGGTTTTTCAATGCTGCCTGGTTTTTATAGACATACACTCCTCAGTATGAAATGCCATAACACTCAGATGGTAATGAACAATCAACTTGTGGAACTCATGGAATGGCAGAAAAAGTAAGTAAAGTCATTATCCAAACCCCATTAAGTTATATTTCCTTTGGACAGAAGGTTTTAGGGGGCATGATCATACCACTCAACTTTTTACTTAAAAAAAAATAAAAATCCTGGCAGTATACTAGACATAGCAAACATAGATGACATTCAACTAAGGTTTACTTGCTTTGATGAACCTTCCCAGGGGAAAAAAATATGTAAACAGCATATACAACTAAGTAAACAGAAATCTGAGGCCTTGGAAAAAATGGGTTTTCTATCAGTGACCCACTGAGGTCAGGTCAGGCAAGCAGACCACAATTTCATTATAGCCTTAGTGTTCAATGTATGCATTACGTGCTAACTATCCTACATCATGAAGGGGAAAATACTTGGCATTCTATAAAGCATTGCTTTTGGAGGCTGCCCTAGTTGTTTCAATTTGTTTGCTTTTCACATATTTTCCATCTTATCTTAAGCCACTACAATTCATCTTCATGTAACTTTGGAAGGTTAATCATTTGGGGGTGGGGGGGTGGGGGTTTGACGGGAATGAATATAAAGTGCAATTACTCTGCTGACAAGCATATTCTGTAACAGGCATACCAAAAGTGAAAAAATGCTGTCAGAGGATTACTTCTCAGGATACACTACTCCTTAGCAATAACATGCACTGTCTACACATTACAGAATTTCACGAACATCTTTATCAGTTTACAGTTTATCAACTGTACATTTTACAGTGACAGTTTATCAACGTCTTGGATATATGTTTTATTTCAAAATCATCTGAGAAAGGCTTCCCTCATTTTGTCCTTTAAGAATGGATATAGACATTTCACAAAGCTGTATCTGTGTTGGCTTCTAGCCAATTGGTACCTCTTGTACTGCAAAACCAGATATGGTCTTACCTATACTACATTTGCAAAATGTTGGCTGAATTAAGTTAAGTCCCCACCCCCCCAAAACACTTCTGAAACCCTACCAGCGGTGGTAGCTAGAAAAAGCTTAAAATATGTCACAGCTTGGGGTCCTTTTCAGCTGACCAACTGTCAACTCTTGCCATTTAGTATGGTACATTATTGTTTTACATGAGAGCTTAGAAATGTAAGCTTGACAATTGCACAGGCATAAAAATTTAGCAGCAGAGCTTAGTAAAAATCTTGTAACTGTTTCTGCTTACCTCAATTAGCTGTGGTTGTGTGATCACAGAAAAGGGAACTTCGGCTGAAGGGTCTGCCATGGTTAGTGGTCTGTTAAACCCCTTCCTTTCACGTATCAGATGTTTAAGTAAAGTCTGAGTCAGTTCTCAATCATGCTGACATTTGGGCCTAGAAGACAGAAAACATGTTTTAGAACCTTAGAAAAGTCAAATGAAATTACTAGATGGATTAACGCGACAAACCTGTGTGAATAATCATTTACCAAAAAACACCCCAAACTAAAACAAAATGAAATACCATTTTTTAAACATAAAACAAGAAAGTTGTGCATAAAAAGACCAAGTGCTACTTCCAACAGCCATTTTCATCCAACATACACAGCAATACATTATTTCACACAAGGAGAAAACCTACATAGATTTCAGAAATCCTTAAAAGATGCATTTTAAAGTTAGATTTCAGAAAACCTTTAATGTGCTAAAACTCCAGTTAAAACAAAGCTGTAACTGCAAAGGATCTTAAGTGTTTTGAGATCCCAAGTACAGTATGCCCCAACTTACGCTGGGTTTACATTCTGGGGAGTGCGCCTAAAGCCTAATCCACATACTGTATAGTCAAAACACAGGACTGCCAAAGTCCTTTTCCTCCTGGGACGCACGCCCTCTTTCTCTTTCTCTCTCTCTTTTTTTTTTTGCTAAGTGCATAGAGCTAAATATGCGTAAGTTGCAGGCTTTCTGTATACAAATTTGCAATTGCAAAGCATATTGCAGAATTGGGTGGTGGGTGTACCAGCATCAGTGTAGGAAACAGACTATCCCTTCTATTTTGTGCTGCAGCCACTGCACCTCAGCTCATATTTGGCACAGCTATATTTATGAAAATTTTTAGATATTTATATGCGAGTAAAGTTTGTGTTTTCGTTTTGGCCAACTGAAAAATCCTGGGTATTGAAATGGGTTTTGCTTCTTTGAGCTACAGAGGGGCTGAACTCTATATGTTCTGATGGCCTCCTTCTGGAACGTCTAGAGGAGCTGGGAGCAAAGTTATGCAGCGGTTTCGCTCCTTTCTCCTGCGCCATGTCCAGAAAGTGGTGTTGGGGGATGAGTGTTCGGACCCCGGGTCTCTCACTTGTGGGGTGCCTCAGGGCTCCGTCCTCTCCCCCATGCTTTTTAACATCTACATGAAGCCGCTGGGAGAGCCCACCAGTATGGAGCTGATACCCAACTCTACCTCTCCTTCAAATCAGAACCAGTGAAGGCGATGAATGTCCTGTGTGAGTGTCTGGATGCGGTTGGCAGATGGATGGTGGCTAACAGATTGAGATTGAGTCCTGACAAGACAGAAGTAATGTTCTTGGAGGACAGAGGGTGGGCAGGTATGGGGGATTCCCTGGTCCTGGGTGAGGTAACTGTGCCCCTGAAAGACCAGGTGCACAGCCTGGGAGTCAGTTTGGGCTCACAGCTGTCCATGGAGGCACAGGTCGATTCTGTGTCCAGGTCAGATGTTTACCAGCTCCATCTGGTACACAGGCTGAGACCCTACCTGCCCGCAGACTGTCTCACCAGAGTGGTGCATGCCCTGGTTATCTCCCACTTGGACTACTACAATGCACTCTATGTGGGGCTACCTTTGAAGGTGACTTGGAAACTACAACTAATCCAGAATGCGGCAGCTAGACTGGTGACTGCTCCTGGGATCATATAACACCGGTCCTAAAGGATCTTCACTGGCTCCCAATACGTTTCCAAGCACAATTCAAAGCGTTGGTGCTGATCTTTAAAGCCTTAAATGGCCTCGGCCCAGTATACCTGAAGGAGAGTCTCCACCCCCATTGTTCCTCCTCCAAGGGTCTTCTGGTGGTTCCCTCACTTTGAGAAGCAAAGTTACAGGGAACCAGGCAGAGGGCCTTCTTGGTAGTGGCACCCTGCCTATGAAACACCCTCCCATCAGATGTCAAGGAGACATCTGAAGGCAGTTCTGTATAGGGAAACCGTTTACAGTGGTACCTCGGTTACAGACACTTCAGGTTACAGACACTTCAGGTTACAGACTCTGCTAACCCAGAAATAGTACCTCAGGTTAAGGACTTTACCTCAGGATGAGAACAGAAATTGTGCAGCGGTGGCGCAGAGGCGAGCCCCATTAGCTAAAGTGGGACCTCAGGTTCAGAACAGTTTCAGGTTAAGAATGGACCTTCGGAACGAATTAATTTCTTAACCCGAGGTACCACTGTAATGTGTAATGTTTTATTAGGGTTTTATTACTTGTTGGAAGCCACCCAGAGTGGCTGGGGAAACCCAGCCAGATGGGCGGGATATAATCATCACCATCATCATCATTATTAAGAATCCTGTTAGGTTCTGCTTGTCCAACATTTTTCATTTTCATGCTGTAAACACTGTGGCTACACAAAAAGATAATCGACTGAATCATGGTTTGGTTTGAAACATTAGGAATGAAATGCAGACCCTTAATATTGTACCCTCATTCCTTTCCTTCCCCTGGACCTAAAGGGAGGAGATGAAAATGAAGAGAGGATGAGCTACAAACGGTGCTTGAAAAGTTTGTTTATAAAATCCAGTAAAAACAAAACACACACACACACACACACACACACACACAAACACACAATCTAATGTGAACAATTGTTTTATTTATTATTCCCAATCATTATGATTTATAAGCTTCAACAGCAGCAACACTTTTCAGATAGTAAAAAATGGTAAATACAGTGGTACCTCAGGTTACATACGCTTCAGGTTACATACTCTTCAGGTTACAGACTCCGCTAACCCAGAAATAGTACCTTGGGTTAAGAACTCTGCTTCAGGATGAGAACAGAAATCATGCAGCGGCGGCGTAGCGGCAGCAGGAGGCCCCATTAGCTAAAGTGGTGCTTCAGGTTAAGAACAGTTTCAGGTTAAGAACGGACCTCCAGAATGAATTAAGTACTTAACCCGAGGTACCACTGTACATTGGGTGCAATGAAACCAACTGGTGCACGCTCTCTCTCTCTTCTCTCTCTCTCTCTCTCACACACACACACATACTTCTCGGTGCTCCAAACCACGATCTGAATGATCATTTGACTGCAGTTTGTATCTAAAGATTCCACAAAGAATTTTCCAAAGTAAAGGATTTTAGACAATCAAGTATTTTTCAGTTGAGATTGTCTGAGCTGCAAAGTTCAATAGCCACTGGCATTAAAGAACTTACCCAAGTCTATTGAAACCGAGCTACATATAACTTCAGTGAAGACTGCTAACAGGTTTCATGTAACGGCTGCAAAATGTGCAGATACAAATGCATGGAACTTAATTCCATGACAGCTGACAAATTCTTCAGGAAAAGTGAGCTCCTGCAACAACCTTTTGCAGGGTATTCCCAAGCCCCAACAGAACGCTCCTGTTCAGGCCACCAGACAGCCTTGAACAGAAGCTTTGTACTACTGTACTATTTGGGGCTTGCAGAGAGAATTTTTTTCTTTCCACTATTTGTGTGCTATTCAATAAAATGTTAAATGTGTTGCTATCAGAGCTTGCTTTCACCCTTCACTCAGCGCAAGCACTTTATTTCTCTATAGGAAGTGGAGGAGCATAGGGTGATTTTTTAAAAAAACCTCACGCCCTCAATTTCCTCCGTTGTCCTTTTCTTAAAATGACACTTAACATATTCTGTGTCTCAGCTGCCCCCAGCCACAGACTTGATTGCTAGACTTGCGCAGTCTGCTGACTTCTCTTTAGATAAACATACCCAGATTCAGTTCCATCCTAGCACTATGTTACTGATGCTCAGGCAATGCTAGTTTATTACCCAGGACATTCTTTCCTCTGATTTTTTTTGTTGTTGTTTAAAAAAATGTTGAGAACTTCCCATACTGATTATATACGGGCATTAGCCCATTAGATAGATAAGTGATATTTGCCATGGTGCTCATAGTACAGATTGATTAGCACCAAGAAGGGTCCTTTCTTTAAATATCTTTCTAGCATTACTAGCTGGGACGTGGGTGGCGCTGTGGGTTAAACCACAGAGCCTAGAACTTGCTGATCAGAAGGTCGGTGGTTCGAATCCCCACAACAGGGTGAGCTCCCGTTGCTCGGTCCCTGCTCCTGCCAACCTAGCAGTTCGAAAGCACGTCAAAGTGCAAGTAGATAAATAGGTACCGCTCTGGCGGGAAGGTAAACGGCATTTCCATGCGCTGCTCTGGTTTGCCAGAAGCGGCTTAGTCATGCTGGCCACATGACCTGGAAGCTGTACACCGGCTTCCTTGGCCAATAAAGTGAGATGAGCGCCGCAACCCCAGAGTCGGCCACGACTGGACCTAATGGTCAGGGGTCCCTTTAGCATTACTAATGATGCCCAGTGAGAGCCCTGCTTTTCTGAGTCAGGTTTAAACACAAAGCAACAATCTTAAGCATCACATGCCATGGTGGAATCTACTTCTGCCTCCTTCTTACACATGGTTGTTATAACACATTTTCTTCGGTGTCCTACACACTTCCCAATATTCCATGAGCAAAGAAACTTTTTCAGCCTGAAGGCCATATTCCCTCATGGAAAATCTTTTTTTTGGGGGGGGGGGAGGCCAGAAGCAACATTGGGCGGAGCAATGGATCCAACTCTTGCCTTTGTAGTTGGTTATAAGTGAGAGCTGGACCATAAAGAAGGCTGATCGCTGAAGAATTGATGCTTTTTGGATTATGGTGCTGGAGAAGACTCTTGAGAGTCCCATGGACTGCAAGAAGATCAAACCTATCCATTCTGAAGGAAATCAGCCCTGAGTGCTCACTGGAAGGACAGATACTGAAGCTGAGGCTCCAAGACTTTGGCCACCTCATGAGAAGAGAAGACTCAGACCCTGATGTTGGGAAAGATTGAGGGCACAAGGAGAAGGGGACAACAGAGGACGAGATGGTTGGACAGTGTTCTCGAAGCTACCAGCATGAGTTTGACCAAACTGCAGGAGGCAGTGGAAGACAGGAGTGGCTGGCGTGCTCTGGTCCATGGGGTCATGAAGAGTCAGACACAACTAAATGAGTCAACAACAACAACAACAATATTCTAGCCACACACACACAAGGTAGAGGTTTCAATTCTCCATCTAGCAAAGTGAGAAGCATTATCAGAGTTCAAGGCCACATTTCAGCAAAAAATGCTCGAGAATGATGAAGAGCAGGGTCAGTAAGGGCTATGGCCTGAGAAGAGGGTCAAACAGGACACTGTAGGGCTACATTCATCCCCCAGGCCTGAGGTTCCCAATCCGTCATTCTTCTTCAAAGGTACATTATTTTTGATATTTTTCAAGCATCATGGTCAGGAAGAATTTTATTTTTCTTATTAGGTGTGGAAGGATAAATAAATGCATGTTCCACTAATGCTTCCAGGTTTGTTTGGAGAGGCAAAGTACCCAAAGGGCAAAGTAGCATGTTCTAGGAGTGATGACCTTCCATTCCTGAACTCAGTTTAGCTATTGCATCTCCATTCTTCTCCCTTGCCTCTACACACCACAGCCTCTCCCTTGACCTAGCAAATCTGCAAGATTGTATCAGGTCATTACCCATGAGCTCTCACTCAGTCACTTTGTATAATTGTTCATATTCATTATTTGGTTCATCCTCACAAGATATTTCAAAACATGCACTTCAGCATTAATCTGTTCTGGAGTGCACAATTTGTGAGCCACCAAACCAAACATAGCCCACCAGCTATTTTGGCAGCCCACCAGGAGATCCATAAATCTCCTATTTTTTCTACCTAGCAAACAGCTAAACAAGAGCGTTTGAAAAAACACTTTGCCAGTCCCCATTTATTGTTGGATAGACTGTCCAAAACAGGCCTGCGTGGTCTACAAAAATTTGTGAAACAATAGAAGATTGCCGCTATGATTCCAGAACCACTGGACATGGCTCCTGTTGTGGAATTAATTTGTATGTTGGTTTCATTTTGCCTCAATATCTGTAAAAATGTGATTAATTATTGTTAAGAAGATCTCACCTACAGGTGAATACCTACAAAGCCGCCTAAAACTATATGGCCCAATTAATGTCCATGAATATTACCAGTGCTAAGGTTCTAAATGTTGTTCTTGTTGGCAGAATCAGTCTGTCTTGGGAGACAATGGAGAAGTGCGCCTTTGGGGGTAAAGTCGAACTGTTGGAATTTTAGAGCCTATTGTGGTTGTAGAGATCGATAGTGGAGAGAGATGTTTTGTTGCAGCTGGAGCCTATGAAGGCATCCAGTTGTGCTGCTGCAGATGTTCCACAGTGCTTTTTCTCTTAGTGCTCCTCCCAGCAGCCTTTCCTCCTCTGGTCACTGCTATGGATGCGCAATCTGTCTGTGTCCAGGCACTGCGGTTGTCTGCAAGGGATTCCGACACGGCAGGGCTGATATTGCCAGCTTTCATGTCATGTTTGCGGACATCTTTGTAACGCAGGGTTGGTCTGCCAACGAACCTGGTGCTTGAAGCCAGCTCCCTGTAGAGCATATCCTTGGGGAATCTTACCATCTTCCATTCTGTGGACATGACTAAGTCAGCATAGATGTCACTGAGACAGGAGTATGGACATGCTGGGAATGTGGGCTTGGAAATGCCCATCTTTGTTTGAGAAACTGTCTTGCCACGTGATACCCAAAATCTTCCTGACGCAGCACGTGGAAGGTGTCAAGGCATTGCTCCTGGTGGTTGACCACGACTCCCTTCCATAAATCAGTGTCTTCAACACGTAAGCCTGGTAGACTTTCATATTGGTATTGGACATCAACATCACATTTTCCCATACCCTTTTGGAGAGGCAAGCCATTGCTGTAGCTGCCTTGCTAATACACTTGTCTAGCTCAGCATCAATGAATAAGTTGCTGGCAAAATATGGTCAGTACCAAAACCAAGTTCTTTTTTAATGACATCATGGATTGGTAACATTTCATATTCAATGTGTGATGTGGATAGTGTAGTTCTGCTAGTGTGGACGACTGGAGACCAATTAAACTGGGGTAGACATCACCTTGTCGACAAAGGTCCGTATAGTTAAAGCTATGGTTTTCCCAGTAGTGATGTATGGAAGTGAGAGCTGGACCATAAAGAAGGCTGATCGCCGAAGAATTGATACTTTTGAATTATGGTGCTGGAGGAGACTCTTGAGAGTCCCATGGGCTGCAAGAAGATCAAACCTATCCATTCTTAAGGAAATCAGCCCTGAGTGCTCACTGGAAGGACAGATCCTGAAGCTGAAGCTCCAATGCTTTGGCCACCTCATGAGAAGAGAAGACTCCCTGGAAAAGACCCTGATGTTGGGAAAGATTGAGAGCACAAGGAGAAGGGGACGACAGAGGACGAGATGGTTGGACAGTGTTCTCGAAGTGACCAACATGAGTTTGACCAAACTGTGGGAGGCAGTGGAAGACAGGAGTGCCTGGCGTGCTCTGGTCCATAGGGCCACGAAGAGTCGGACACGACTAAACAACTAAACAACAAGGCATCTGTTCTGCAGCTTGTCCAAAAAACAATTTTCAGGAACTGGTACAAGCAGCTACAACTGAGATGTAATTTTCAAGTCTGTTCTATAGCTTAAATTTGGAATACTTTTTTTCAGAAAGGAAAACCAAAAATTCTTCGGAAATTATTTATCCACATTTGGAACTGAGGACTTTATTTTAAAGCCCAAATATAAATATGCCCCCCCCAAAGTTATGCACATGGGAATTTTTCAACCTAAAAGGTTCCACAGCCTTTGTAAAAGTCACCAATTAGAAGGTCAGTCAATAAAGGCGACTCCCCATTTACATGGGGGCTACATTCCAAACCCAAAGTGTGTGTCAGTGAAATTGCATAAAATAGGGAGTCACCTGTATTTTCTTTCAGGAAATTTATTGAAGCCAGAGGCTTCTAACGTTTCTGCAGGTGCTGTTTCTGAATCCAATGGTGTTTTTACTTTTAGGTTTGGTTAAAACCCTTTAAGCTGGGAAATGAGTAGGAGAATGGGCATTAATGTAGCAACTGGCTATAAAAATACATTATACTGACTTTTACAAGTAAGTAAATTTTGATTTATACCCCGCCCTCACCGGCAAACATCAAATATCAAATACATTAAAACACAATCAAACAATTGATTAAAATACAGCTTAAAATTAGAATCAGGATAAAATTAAATGGCTGCCCACTAATTACAACCATAGGGGTCGGGAACCTCAAGTATTCATCAGGGCTAGCTATCCATGTTGGTCCCACATGAGCTGATAAAAGAGCCAAAGAGGTCGGTGGAAGAAGAGTGGAAGAAATTCAAAGATTATCTACAGAAATATTGTAAAATTAATTAATCTTAGAATGATGTTGGATAGAAATTAAGTGGTTTCCAGCTGTAATGCTTTAAGGGAATATGAAAAAAGGGTTATAAATAGGTAAAAATCTAATGCTATTATTTTTAAGATCAAGGATTAGGATAATTAAAGAGGGTAAGGATTTGCTGAACCAACAGATTGAAGTGGAATACAAAAAAGGGAGGTACGAGGAGGTCCGGGAAACAAGCTAAAGGAAAATAAGTAATGGAAAATCTGGGTGTTTTTAACCATTTTTATTTTGTATTTTTGTTATTTTTTTCACTTTTATTGTAATATTTTAAAAAATCTTAATAAATATCTTATAAAAAAAATAATAAAAGAGCCAAAGAGGTAACTTACAGGGTCCCATAGAGGGGTCAAACTGGGCCCGGACTGAAGGCCAGGTGGAACAGGCCCTGTGGAAGGATGTCAAGTCCCGCAGGGCCCTGGTGTCCTGCAATAGAGCATTCCACTAGGCTGGGGCCAAAGCCAAAAAGGCCTTGGTCCTAGTTGAGGCCACTTTAACCTCCTTGAGGCCCGGGACCTCCAAAATACTATTATTTGCAGACTGTAAGGTCCTCCGCAAGGCATACCGGGAGAAGAGGTCCCATAAGTACGAGGGTCCTAGGCCGTATAGGGCTTTAAAGGTTAAAACCAGCACCTTAAACCTGACCCTGTACTCCACCAGGAGCCAGTGCAGCTGGTATAGCACTGGATGAATGTGGTCCCATGGCAAGGACCCCGTAAGAAACCTCGCAGTGGCATTCTGCACCCACTGGAGTTTCTGGGTGAAGCGAAAGGCTTTTATGCAAAGTGATAATTTAATATGCAAAACATAGAGAGATTCCCTAAGTAGCTGAATAGCTTCTATACTGGGCTACTAATGACTTTCAGAAAAATAATTAAATGAATGGCAAATATTACTAGATTGATTCCTGGGAGTACACAGAGCTTTTGACCATCACTTCTTGAAGCATCCTCTTACTTATTTCCTTTTATTTTAAAAGCCCAAGATGCCAATCCAACACCACTGCAATTGGAGCTGGGGACATTTACAGGAAAAATAAGCTTTCAGTTAATTGTTCAGTAACTTTTGCAGAAAAGTTGCAGCACTTCAGTAAATAAGTATGTGGCTTCTCAACAGCAGGAAGCCTTCGGAAATTCATGTTATTTCAGATCCTTAGAACTGTTTGGGGGTAAAATGAGACCAGAGGCCTGCTGCAAATGGTGATTTAAAAACAACCAATGACTGATTAATGCATGTCCAGAAGATACACAATTGCACACACATGTGCGGTGCAGAACCCGGAAGTGACCCAAAAATGTCACTCAACATGTCATAAAAAGGGTATAATGGGGGCATGGCAGAACAGGGTATAACAGGGTGGGACACACATCTATGTGCTCCACTGATGTGCACAAGGGCCAGGACAGAACCCCAATATGAAATAATCACCACCTGTATTTATTTTTAAATGTATACTGCATTTTGCCAGCTCTACAGAGGAGTCGTTCAAAATGGCAACCCATAAGACAAACATAAAAGCAACCCATGAAAACGCAAATTATCAAATGATAAAAAGCAGCACAAACAAAAATGCTAAGAGGAGCACCAGCAATCAAAACAATCTAGCAACAGAATCAAAAGCTTGTTTAAAAAAGAGTATTCTCAATTGCTTGCAGAATATAAATAAAAACATCTTTGGTTTAAACCTTTAAAAAGTAACTTGTGAAGAGGCTTCAAGTAACTTTTTTAAAGTCAGTAAACGTTTTGCATTTCTCTGCAAAAATGATACTAATATTCAACATTTCTTCTTCCACCCCATAGGAATACATTTTGTATTCACAGAGCAGCCTGCGAGCCATACATGACATCAGTCAAATTATGAATTGATGCTTTGTGTACAGATACGGAAAACAGCACTGTTGTGAGCTATTAGTACTACCAAAATGCTTTTAAAGCTCTGCTCACTAGAATAAGCAAAAAGTTGCATCAGAAATGAGTAGGATATTTTAAGAGCTCCACAAATGGGGCTGTGCATGTAGGCAGTAAGTGGGGCCTCTGAAGCAGATCACATGGTATAGGCAAGTTGGTTTGAATTAAGGCGGTCCTTCAACTAACCCGATCTTAAACCACTTAGGTCTTTAAAGGTACAGTGGTAATAATAATAATAATAATTCATTATTTATAATCCGCCCATCTGGGTGAGTCTCCCCAGCCACTCTGGGTGGCTCCCAATCACATGTTAAAAACAATACTGCATTAAATATTAAAAACTTCCCTAAACAGAGCTGCCTTCAGATGTCTTTTAGAAATAGGATAGCTGCTTATTTCCTTGACATCTGAAGGGAGGGTGTTCCACAGGGTGGGTGCCAGTACCGAGAAGGCCCTCTGCCTGGTTCCCTGTAGCCTCACTTCTCGCAATGAGGGAACCGCCAGAAGGCCCTCAGCGCTGGATCTCAGTGTACGGGCTGAACGATGGGGGTGAAGTTAAGTACTTAATTTGTTCCGGAGGTCTGTTCTTAACCTGAAACTGTTCTTAACCTGAAGCACCACTTTAGCTAATGGGGCCTCCCATTGCTGCTGCGCCGCCGGAGCACGATTTCTGTTCTCATCCTGAAGCAAAGTTCTTAACCCGAGGTACTATTTCTGGGTTAGTGGAGTCTGTAACCTGAAGCGTAGGTAACCTGAAGCGTATGTAACCTGAGGTACCACTGTAATCACCAGCACTTTATACTGGACACAGAAACGTATTGATAACCAGTAAACCAGTAAATAAAGGCACAGTGTGTCCCAACTATCTACTATCAACCAGTAATCAGACACGTTTTTCTGAAGAAACATAAGAAGAACATCAGGCCAAAGGTTGATCTATTCCAGCACCCTGTTCCCAGTGGCCAAATGCTTATGCAAAGCCCACAAGCAGGACCCAGAACCTTGTACACAGAGTCTCTAAGAGCTAGCTCATTCGTACATGATTTTGTCTAATCTACCTTTAAAGCCTCCCAAGTTGGTGGCCATTACTACACACTATCATGATTGTAGAAACTGCAGTAGCAAGCAATCTTTGGGTAGAAAACTCTTCACTTAAAAGATATAGACATATTTTTGTCATTAACCTCTTGCGTGTCGAGGTCCCCAGGGCCACCCCAATAACTCACACATCACACAGAATTTTTGTTTAAGATTTTTGGCATAATTTTGGCCACAACTTTATTAAAATACAAATTTGTGAGTGGTTGCTTAGGCACTGGTTGTGACTATCTGCCCCCACCATGGGGGACAGACTGACATTCCGCACGATGCGAAAGTCAGAATAGGGGAATACACTTGGGGGTAGCGTCGGAGCAGGGAACCTGCCCTCAGCCCTCCCCAAATGCAACCAGGAGCTCATTGCTATGGCCCGAGCCCCCTTGACAGAGTGGACAAGCAATAGTTAGCCCCCAATTCCTTTAACGGAATCCCTCGCAGCAGCAGCATTAGAGGGGCAGGCACAGCCAATCCATGCCCCTCCACCAACCAAATCATAAACCAATGCCTAACCGCAACCTTACAAGTTGTGACAATTTGCTACGCAGTAGGCAAAAACCAAATGGCCCCAGCCAATCAGCCAGATGGACAAAATTCCTACCACACCCCTGCCCCAAAGCAGACGACCCCATGACAGGCATAGCAAGGTCAAAGCGAACAACCCTATTCTAGGGAGGGAGGGGCAATCCAATGCACGGTCGAAAAGAGGAAGCCCTAGCCTCGTGAAAGAAGTTTTAGCATTTCTGGCTGTCAATCAACAAACGGTAACATTAACTTCTTCCCAACAACAAGGGAAGCCCCAATCGCATCAGTGGCCAACGGTCAATTAGCCCGCCCCCAACTTTGGAGTGTCCTGGCGGCCCCCACTGCAACACGTGCTCTTTCTCAAAGTTAATGGCACTGGACTGGGGTAATGCAGCTTCCAAGTGCTTATCAGCATTCTAGAATAACTAAACCAAAAACCATAATCCAAACATCTTCTACTGCAATTGTTTGTTATAATGCTACTTATTAAGGGGCATTCAAAATCTTTAAAATTAAAAGCACTTCTGAAAGATTTGCTGTAGGGGACTCTTTAAAGGGCTGTAGCGCTCTCCAAAATTGCCAGAGTTCCCTATCCAAAATAATAAAGAATAGATACAGTATAAGTAAAATGTTCCACTGTTCTAATCTTGACACCCATTTGGTTTACATCCACATACTGTATGTAACCTTTTACAGATACTGGCAGTTGAATGAACTATTTTAAATTCTCACCCGCCTCTGATTCTGGCAGGATAAACAGTGATAAACTTTATTAGAAATATGTGGAAAACAATCCCTTCTCCTTTGTGCACTGAATTGATTTCTATCTCAAAGAATAATACAAAAATTAACTTAAGCAGCATATTTCCCAAAGCTTTGTGTGCTCACTAAAAAATAAATAAACGAATGATAAGTAAGGTAGTGTACTTTACAGATGAATGGATACAGCTGTAATTCAAAGGTACTTTCCTCAGTTAGGTTGCAGACCAAGATATTCTGAACTCAACATTAGCTACTGAATAATCTGTAACCGTTTAGCAGACAGTAACTTCACTGTGGCCATTAAAATGGAAAAAAAGGGTGATGGGCATAATTCAAACACAGGCTGGGCAGCAATAGGATGTGATGGAGCAGCATAGCCAACAAAGAATTCAAAGCCTGGGCAGAAGATGGCGGCAAAGACTAGCCTGGACTGCTATGCCAGCCTGGAGGTGGTGTAGAGACTGGGTGTGATGGCCTGGGATTCAGATTCAGATGCTGAACCTGAGGAATCCCAGCCTGCTCAGGAGTCCCTGCCTCCAGAACCAGCTGAGCCAGGGCTGGGGCTTGAGCCTGAAGGGTCCTCACCTGTGCTGGATCCTCAGGTGCAGGCACCAGCTGAGTCTGCTCTGGCTCCTGAGGTGATGGAGGACCCATTGCCTGCAGGTGCTCCACTCGCAGCCCCGTCAGGGAAAGCTGAGGTTGCCTCTGGGTCCGGTAACCCTCCAGCCTCTCCTGAGCTGCAGAGGCTCAGGGCAGAGAGGCGTAGAGAACTAAGTTCCCGCAGGAGGAGTGCTCGCCTCCAGGCCAGGAGAGGTGAGTCACCTGTGGACCGGGGCTGCCCTATGCCTTGGAGCAGATAAAAGCCAGCCAGCCCCAGTCCCAGGTTGTGGGAGCAACATTGTTGGTAGCCTGTTCCTGCCTGCACCCTGTCCTGCTCTTCTGCCAGAGTTCCTGATCTCACCTGACTCCCTACCTTGGACCAGCTTCAGCCTTGATGGACAGCCTCCATACCGCACCCTCGACCTTGGACTGGACTTGGACCTTGCCACACAGTTAACCCTCAGGACCAGCACACTGGGCCTGGATTAAGTCAAGTGATGACAGTAGGGCCAGCTCAGGATACAGGAAATCCCAAGCAAGCTTAGCCTTTCCCCTGGAACACTCCAAGTTGGGTCTTTCTGCTGGCAGATAGTTCAGTTGGTTAGGAAGCTCCATTTGGTGAGTGGACAGGGCTTCTCCACCAGCAGAGTGATACTAGTGTCACTCCACTGGCAGGGCTGGACAAATGGGTCTGAGGGCCCTGAAGGAAATACAGGCCTGATTTAAAGCTCCGAAGTGGGATCCAAAGTAACGCTCTTGTCTTTCGTTCCATCCCATTCCTCAGAAGCCTTTGTAGGTGATGATAGGAGGGGAGAAGAAAAGCTACATCCCTCCCCACTTCTCTCCTCCTCCGAAAAGGATTTCTGGGAAACAAAGTAAGCTGACTAAAGTAAAGGTAAAGGGACCCCTGACCATTAGGTCCAGTCGTGGCTGACTCTGGGGTTGCAGCGCTCATCTCGCTTTACTGGCTGAGGGAGCCGGCGTACAGCTTCTGGGTCATGTGGCCAGCATGACTAAGCTGCTTCTGGCGAACCAGAGCAGCGCACGGAAACGCCGTTTACCTTCCCGCTGGAGTGGTACCTATTGATCTACTTGCACTTTGACATGCTTTCGAACTGCTAGGTTGGCAGGAGCAGGGACCGAGCAACGGGAGCTCACCCCGTTGCAGGGATTCGAACCGCCAACCTTCTGATCGGCAAGTCCTAGGCTCTGTGGTTTAACCCACAGCGCCACCCGCGTCCCGTAAGTAAGCTGACTGCCACCACCCTTAAATGTTTGGTGTGGTTTTTTTCCCCAAAACCAAAAAAGAAAAGAAAAATTACAAACATCAAATTCAGCATCCATATTCGTTTCCTAGCACAAACCTGTTTCATGATTAATTAAATCAAATATACCTAATTACTCTACACGTCTCTTTGCTGTATACAAATAAATCACAGTTAGACATTTTATATTTAAATTTTTATCTTATAAATAATATTTCAAATTCCCCCAAACCCCCCACTCCCCTTCACCCATGTGTGATCTCAATTTTTTTGCTTCTTCCGAAATGTTTGGGGGTTTTTTGGGGGTATTTTTGCTCCCAAGCATTCTAAAATGGAAAAAAGGGGGAGGGGGAGCAAGTGGTAACTAGGCCATCACATGTGTCCATAGATTGCTTCATAGTTTCTATGGGGGTTACTTCACAGCCAGTGTGGAAGGTTGTAGGCCTTGGAATTACTATTCTGACCAAGTCAATAACATTTTGAACTCTTGAATGTGATATCTATATCATTTAATAAACAAACAAATGTCTTTTATCAAATCACATCTCTGATTTGTTAAATTTCCAGTTTTAAACTGTGAGAGTGTCTCTTTTGTGGTCCGATGTGCATAAAACAAGTTGTGAAACTTAGCAAATGAGGCCCTCTCTGAGCCCGAGTTCTGAGGCCAAATGACCCTCCTGAGCCCCTTCTTATAAGGTCTGTGTGCATCCACCAGAAGATTGTGGCAGCGGGCACAGACCTGCTTTATCCTCATGTTGTTGTTGTTTAGTCGTTTAGTCGTGTCCAACTCTTTGTGACCCCATGGACCAGAGCACGCCAGGCACGCCAGTCTTCCACTGTCTCCCACAGTTTGGTCAAACTCATGCTGGTAGCTTCGACAACACTATCCAACCATCTTGTCCTCTGCTGTCCCCTTCTCCTTGTGCCCTCCATCTTTCCCAGCATCAGGGTCTTTTCCAGGGAGTCTTCTCTTCTCATGAGGTGGCCAGAGTATTGGAGCCTCAGCTTCACGATCTGTCCTTCCAGTGAGCACTCAGGGCAGATTTCCTTAAGAATGGATAGGTTTGCTCTTCCTGCAGTCCATGGGACTTTATCCACATGTGTTGTGTGAAATAGACACCCCTAGAGAGAACACCATGGAACACCAATGGGCTTGAACCCATGACCCTGAGGTTAAGAGCATCTTGCTTTACTGACTGAGCTATCCCAGCATTAATAGATTAATAGATGCAAAATAGATTGCAATGCGGTATCTTAAATAAGGCATCTAAAATACTAATGACCAATTAAAGTTCGATTTTACTTGTTAGGAATACAGCTGCTACCTCTCAGTGGAACTGAGCCTTACTCTATTTCCCACTTTAGGTTCTTCTGAACCTGCCATCTAAATTCTTTAATCTTTTGTAACCTAGTAATTAGATGTATTTCCATCAGGCAAAGTAGGCGGTAGTCTGGTTAACTAGAGTCTAGTGCAAAGGTTAAGGCAGTAAAACATTACCTCAGGCTAAGGAGCCAAATTGGCATTTACATCCTGCATTAGTGTTTTATGGCCACATCAAAGAGACATTCTTCCATGCAAAGGAGCTTCCTTCACAACTATGTACACAGTGTAAAACAACCTTCCCAATCATTCAATCAATCACTGAGAATCACTGAGAATACACCTGCCTTGCGGCACTTGCAAGATGCACACTAACATGGCAACTGTTCTGGAAACTGGGACAATCAGAGAATTTCAAAAACAAAGCAACTGTGAAAGAGCTTTTTGTCTGTCAAGCTGTCTTGTTATCTTCTCACTCACACCTTCCATCTCTCATACGATGGCTTAGAGAACCAGGCAGGGTGATGGGAGTTGCAGTACAAACATATATTTGAGGGACACTATGATTACCTAACCATGATTGCAAATGTTAATGTTAAGATCAGTACATACACAATGGAGGGAACATAAGCATAATGGTCTGCTTGCAAGACCTCCTAAGCTGATACAGTCATACCTCGGGTTACAGACGCTTCAGGTTGCGTTTTTTTGGGTTACGGACCGCCAAAATCCAAAAGTACCAGAACGGGTTACTTCCAGGTTTCGGTGGTCACGCATGCACAGAAGTGCTAAATCGCGGTTTGCGCATGTGCAGAAGTGCCGAATTGCAACCCATGCATGCACAGACGCGCCGCTGCGGGTTGCGAATGCTGTGGGTTGCGAATGTGCATCCCGCACAGATCACGTTCACAACCTGAGCGTCCACTGTATAGTACTTGGGAGTGTTGGACTGGGACCTGGAAAACGAGGATTCAAATCCCCCCTTGCCCATCATACTCACTGAGTGACCTTTAGCCAATCACAGCCTCTCAGCCTAACCTACCTCACAGTGCTGTTGTGAGGATTAAATGAAGAAGGTGAGAACCATATATGCCAACTTGAGCTCCTTGGAGGGGGGGGGGAGATGGGATGTCAATGAAATAATAATTCAACCTTAATAATAATAATTCAACCTTGGGTTCCCAGATAACAATTCCACCCCATCTGGGGACCACATGAATGTACATGTCAGCAAAAAGGCCTTAGGTGGATCAAAGGAATTGCAAGCTCCTCTCCAGAAGTCTGCCCACCTCCTTAGCTTTCTCACCAAGTCATTGTTTATGCGAACCAGCTCAGTGGTAACAATGGAGGGTGGGTGGGTGGGATTCCTACACTACCAGGGAGGGGAACATCAACATTCAGGAAACTCCTGATGTCCTAGTCAATAGGAAATGTCATGATGGCCCACATATGAAGGGTACTATTAATTATATCATGCAGAGCAGTAAGACAACTTTTGTAAAAACTCACAATAAAACCACACTGATATGTGTATGAGGGGAGAAAATGCACAAGGCTTACTTAGGGCTGCAATACATCCAAAATAACCATGATTTGTCCGTCGGAAATGGCGTTCGGGTATGAAATGGGCTAAAACATCTGGGAAAACCCAGGCATATGGCAGCTCATAATGCTGAAAAAAACTCAACAACTTTGCCAAAAGAAATATGGCAACCCTAACTTACTTAAATGGTAATAATTAAAAATTTGAGCTTATAAGAAAAATGCAGGTCATTTTTCCTAAAGGTTCAAATAACTTCTCATACCAGCAAGTCTGAGAACCTTCAAGTATTATAGGCCAGTATTATTATCTACATACTGAGGAAGAGCTGAGTTGTCTAAAGCCACCTAGTGAATTTGTGGCTGAGTTATGATTTTTCATTTTTGCTAGAACAAAGTATTTGGTCCAACAGTTTTCAAGGGGGTGCATCAAAAACCATCACAGAAGACTGGATTAGTTTTGGTGAGGGGGAGGCTGAGTGAGTAGCAAAATTCTATTTACTTTGTCTTACTTTATTAGGTATGTCAGAGGTTCCAATTATTTTTCCTCTTTCTTTAGTAAAAAAACACACACAAAAATTGCTGCTTGAAGGGTTTTTTTGATGCTACAGTATTTGATAAGACAACATTTTGGAAAATTCACCACTCCCCCCAAAATAGCTGATTATCCTATGTGGAGGACAAATGGCCTGCAAAAACATGGGAGGTAAGATATTTGGCCCAGCTCTAATTTGAACCAGGAACTTCTTGGTTCATTCTCTAGGGGAGCACTTAGCGAGTAATTCATTGAATTCAGCAGGACTTGTTTCCAATTAAGCATACATAGGCCTGGGCTCTTGAATCACTATGCTAACTCCATTTTCATTTTCATGCTCTAGTTCAAAAACAGAGTAAATGTATGATTAAGCGTAATGTACACAATCTATGGAAATTTAGCACATTTTTTTTTAGCCAACCAATTATCTGTCCACAAAAGCTATCTTTATTTAAGCAACTTATGCTGTTTAAGTTGAAGGTAAGGAAGAAAAAGAAAACAGAACAGATGTTTTCCATACTTTACTGTATCTTCATTTATTTTAAAAAAGGAGGGGCAAGGAGGCTAATATGACCTATTTCCAATGCTTACATTTGTTATTTTGAACATAGTGCTGAAACTGTGCAAATTAACTGGCAATCCTTCCACGTCTTTTAACACAGCTATACCATAAAGATAAACCAAGAAAAACAAAATCTAAATCCTAAGAAATGTAAACAGCAAGAACAGCCGTTCTTTTTCAAGAGGTACTGTTTTCTTCACAGCCACAGTCAATACTGGGCTTGATTCAAGCATATCTGAGATGCAGCAGTTTAAAGGAATCACAGAACTTGCAACTTTCAAAACCGATTGCAAAACAAGATTCTTAGCATAGCAGCTCCACATCTTGGAGCTTAAATCATGGCACAGAACAAAAAAGTAGGGGCTCCATATTACATAAAATCACAGGTGTTCATAGGCAAGGAATTTCCACCTACCTCAAGCAAGCAAGTCAAGCCACGCATGGCAGTATACAACCTTTTACATTCTTTAGCCAGTACAACCAGATAGTAAATTATTTCCTAGCAACCAAATAAATTACGGGATAAAAAATACCAAGGCACCAAGAAAAAACCTTGGTGTAGCTCATGATTGGATGCGGGTGGCACTATGGGTTAAACCACAGAGCCTAGGACTTGCCAATCAGAAGGTCGGTGGTTCGAATCCCCGTGAGGGGTGAGCTCCCGTTGCTCGGTCCCTGCTCCTGCCAACCTAGCAGTTCGAAAGCAGTTCAAAGTGCAAGTAGATAAATAGGTACCACTCCGGTGGGAAGGTAAACGGCGTTTCCGTGCGCTGCTCTGATTCGCCAGAAGCGGCTTAGTCATGCTGGCCAATAAAGCGAGATGAGCGCCACAACCCCAGAGTCGGTCACGACTGGACCTAATGGTCAGGGGTCCCTTTACCTTTACCTTTAGCTCATAATTACTGAGGAAAAAGCTTGACTGCAATTCCTGATTCAGATGAAATGCTAAGCCAAATCCTACCTTATGTAGGTAGCAAAAATGCCCAGGAAGGAGCAGAGCAGCAGTGAACTCTCTTCTCTGGGAGCTAATAAGACTTCCATGTCCCTGCTAAGCCACAGTTTAGCTTAGCACAGGTGTAGGCAACCTAAGGCCCGGGGGCCGGATGCGGCCCAATCGTCTTCTCAATCTAGCCCACGGACGGTCCAGGAATCAGCGTGTTTTTACATGAGTAGAATGTGTCCTTTTATTTAAAATGCACCTCTGGGTTATTTGTGGGGCATAGGAATTTGTTCATTCCCCCCCCCCCAAAAAATAGTCCGGCCCCCCACAAGGTCTGAGGGACGGTGGACCGGCCCACGGCTGAAAAAGGTTGCTGACCCCTGGCTTAGCATGATGTTTGAACCAGGCCGCTGTGAAATACAGATGCAACCATATGAAAATGCATACTGAAAAGAAACAATTCTGCATTGTGTGGAAATATCACACATTAAAATCCCACAACTAAATAAGGACTAGTTCATCCTTAAGTCTAGTTCATCCTTAAGTTCCTCTGGCTTGCATTATTCATCTAAAAGTTAAGAGAAAGTAGAGGAACATTCCAAACTAAAAATGGTATAGTTGTATACATCACTATAATATCTCTAGTCATTTCTGTGTCATATTAACTCCCTTGTGCTCCCTGAAATTCTAAATTTCAGAAAGCAGGGCAAAAGAGTTATTAGACTACAGCACGGTATGTTTGAAGTTCGAGGTAATGAGTTATACATTTATAAGCTTGAAAATTAATAGATTGCTACTGAGAAACTCTGTGAAATCTGAGATTGCAGTCAAAGGCAAGAAATTCTGTAAGAGATCTATGGAAATTAAGGCTGTAATCCAATGCACATTTGCCTTGGAATAAGCCCCACTGAATAAAGTGGGGGCAGGGAGCGGGTTTGAACTGTGAGCATACACAGGCCTTACCTATGTAAGCACAGTGTGTGTTTTTTTCAAATGGCCATGCAGAATCTACAGACCTACAGTGCTTTTTTTTTAATTAATTAAAAAGGTTAAGATAAGCTAAAACTACACCTCTGTATTTGTATAAATAGCAGCTATGACATGAATTCCATGAGCCAAAGTTCCAAATGCTAAAAACAGATATATGTATATATTTCCTGCATGATAGCCATGCAAGACTTTTGGCCCACAACAACCCCAGCAGACTCCAGAGCCAACAATTTTCATTGCCAAACTGAAATCAAATTCCCCAACCTGGAAAAATGAGTCACTGTAGAGCAGAACACACAATGCAACAAAAATATGTTGGCACCAACGAATGACTTCCCACTCCCTGCTCTTAAAGATATATATATATGGAGAGAGAGAGAGAGAGAGAGAGGGAGAGAGACATATACCTATATCATCTATATCTATATCAACTATATCTATATCTACATCTATCTGTATCTCCAAGTCAGAAGCACCTAGAACTTGGTCAAATGAAAAACTTGGTCAAATGCACAAATGACCAAAATAGGGGTGGTGCATTTTACCCAATATTTGAGTTTCGATTTATTGACATTAAAGAAATGGCCTAGAACCACTGGCTAGACCTTTTTGAAAAAGCTTATAATTGATGTATTCATTCATTTACTATGTTCCATTTCTTTTCCACCATTTGCCAAACACACAGCAAGGGTAACAAAAAATTAGGAAGAAGAGCATCATTGTACCAACTTGCTCAGATTCCACAACCAGATTGTTGACTGAGGTCAACTTATTGGGAACATGAAACTCCCTTCCTTGTTATGATAAAACATATTCGCCGGCTGACTGTTTCTATCTGAGCACAATTCAAAGTGCTAGCCATGACCTTTAGATCCTTAAATGGCTTGGGATCAATAGGAACCTTCATGGGTTTAAAGACTCTTCAGGCAGGGATGTGAGGATGTGGAGATTTTCAGGCTCAGGCACCCCCTTCCAAGAAAGGCTGTTTTGGCCCCTTCTCTGATGGCATTCTAGTAGCAAGTGAAGACCTCCTTGTTCAGGCAGGTCTTTGGCCTGTTGCAAACCTCTTCCTATGTTCTTAATTGTGGGGCAGCCTCTCTACATACCCATGCTTGTTTGTAATTGACCCATTGGTGATACACTTTGTTGATTCTGAAGGTCATAATATAATGAAGAAAATAAGTTGGTCTCTGAGGAATGTAGATATAGATATGGAGGACTTCATAGCAGTAGTGTCCAAAACACAATGGGGAACTAACACAGTTCTTTTCTGTGATCAAAAGAGCTGGCATGTTCTATACAAACTGATGTTCCTCAACAGTCACCAATGACAGTCCACATCGAGCACGCAAGTGACAACAGACTACCTTGAGGTTACAGAGGCATGAATTGTTGTCATCGTATCCTGGTCAAATAGACAAGCATGTGAAAGGTGTCAAACAAAATTATTTCAGTCTAGTGTGGTTCAACTTCAGTTAGCTCACCTACTTCCAAAATGTCACCATGGCAAGAAACACAGACTCTGTAGGACCCGGGTCAGATTAAAAAGAAGCACAGCTGGGTGACACCAGCATATGAATCCAAACCTCCATGCAATCTCACTACACAGTCAAAAGAAGTGTGAACAAGATGGAGCCCTCTAGGAGTTGAATGGGAGTAAATGGGGTAGAGATGCACAGCTGGCCATTTTAGCCCTCTGTCTCTTCTTAACTGAAAGGAGCAGAAATCGTAGACTTGTGACACAGCTCTGGAGTATAAAGCCTGCAGGAAGATCTAATGATCGGTGCCAAGCAATGGCAATTATAAATTGGCATAAACCAAGAAACGCAATTTCTCTTACTTTCCCCCTCCGTGCAGGGTTAGCAAACATGATGCCCTCCAGCTGTTGAACCACAACTCCCATCATCTCTGACCACTGGCTATGCTGGCAGGGTCTGATGGAAGTTGTAGTCGAGCAAAACATCTGGAGGGAACCACGTGGTCTGCTCCTGTCCTAGTGAGTGAAGCCAGCGATCATAAATCGTCAAGAGCTGTGGCTGTTCCTATTATTGTTTAGGGAAATCCCTAAAAACAGAAATGTCATGATTTAATGGGCAGAAATGTAAAGCGGAAGAGATCCTATCAACATGTGGTGGGATGGATTAATAAAGAAAAACACTGTTTCTAAAACAGTCAGAGAACATGTAGAGCAACTTGCACGAGTGTGGTACTCTCCAGATGTTTTTACTACAACTCATTTCAGCTTGAGTCAGCACAACCAATGGTCAAGGATGATGGGAGTTGTAGGTCAAAACAAATGGTAGGCACCCTAGGATGATTTAGAGACTTCACTTGAAGTTAGATTCCCAATTTGACTCACAGGAGAGGGGGGATAGAAATACAGTGGTACATCGGGTTACATACGCTTCAGGTTACATACGCTTCAGGTTACAGACTCCACTAACCCAGAAATAGTGCTTCAGGTTAAGAACTTTGCTTCAGGATAAGAACAGAAATCAGGTTCCGGCGGCACAGCGGCAGCAGGAGGCCCTATTAGCTAAAGTGGTGCTTCAGGTTAAGAACAGTTTCAGGTTAGGAACGGACCTCCGGAACGAATTAAGTACTTAACCTGAGGTACCACTGTATGGATAAAGATGGTCAACTTTGATTTTAACCTTTCTTTCTTTCTTTCATTTCCAGTTTCTTCTTCTGATCTAGACTATGCCTGGTTATCCTTGTTCAGCCTCTTCAAGCTTAAGGAAATGAAATTGGACAAAAGACTTCTGTGTATACATTCTTATCCTGAGCTCCTCTGCATTTTTACAAAATCATGCTGATACTTTTTTCTTCTTCTGTAGTTAAGCAAGCACATGTATAAAATAGGAGAAAGCACGAAAGGACTTAAATCAGCCCGGAATTTGTGACGCTATGAATATTAATTTTAAAAGTATGCAGCATTTAATCCACGCAAGCCTCATTGCTTTGAAGATTATTTCAACTAAAATGCTTTGTCCAAGGCAAGACAGCTTATGAAAACGCAGTGCTTGAAACATGCTCTATTTACACACTTTCCTTTATACTTAGCAGACCAAACGGTGCATATTTAAGACGAAATCCTTATTCAACTTTTAATAAACTAAGGCCGCAATATTACACATATGCCTGGGAATAAGTTCCATTGAACTCAGTAGGACTTACTTCTGAGTAGACACGCATAGGATTGTGCTCTAGGAGTAAAACTCTAAGTCTGTTTACTTAAGAGTAAATTTCACTGGCTCAGTATGATTTATTTCTGAGTAAGCAAGCCTGGGATTGGGCTGCACAGCTAATTAGGACCAGAAAGAGGCTTATATTTCATGTTAATGGAGAATTATCATCATACAGTGACTAAAACATATCAGAATTGTCTGCTTGGGGGGGGGAGAGAATCAACCATTTCGCAACTTTTCAACCACCCTGACTGCAAGAATAACTTAAGGTGGTTAAAACGTGCTGTGGGATTTCTAATCCACACCCAACAATATTGTCATAAATTGCCGAAGCAAGGAAGCTGACAACGGGTTAATTCTTGAGAACTGAATCCTTATGCATTTCCAACACCTCAGCTTAGGCTGAGAGCAACACTCCCAGGGTGTCGCCACTCTTTAAACTTCAAAAATACCATATGGCTCCAAGGAGCGGAGGTTGGGGGGGAGAGGAGGAGGGAAATACCTAGGTTTGGAAACCTATTGCAGAGTAACAAATTCCAAAGAAATCAAGATGGGATCTTAAACCTTAAATTCCAAAACTGGGCGCCTTATTTTTATTTTTTTTACCCCCCAGGGGAAGAACTCAAAACTGCCGTTTGGAAAAAGGGGTGCAGAACTTGCAGAGAGTTGTGGTTCTTGCTAGACAGAGGAAGAATCTTGTTTACTATGCAGCAAATTTCATCTTAAACAAGGATACTCGAGATTGGGTTGGGGAGCGGGGAAGACGACAGCTTGACTTGGAACGAAACCACTCACAGGGGTGCCAACTTGAATAAAATATTGAGGGGGGCCTGTAAGCCCCGCCCCACATAATCCATCACAAGGCGCACAAACACCATTTGAAGGGCAATGCCCATCCACGGGGAGGGGCACCCCCCAAATATTTTATAGGGGGGTTAGGGGTGCCAACTTGGAATAAAATATTGGGCGACAATAAGCCCCGCCCCCACATTCCAAGATCGGCAATGCCCGTTCACTAGGGGATGGGGAATATTTTATAGGGGTTTTAGGGGTGCCAACTTGGAATAAAATATTGGGAGGGGGGCAAGTCAGTCCAGCCCTGGATAATCGATCACATGACTCCATTGGAATGGCAATACTGTACAGCCCACCCACTTTTTATTGGGGTGGGTGGGAGGTGGAACCCCTCGAAATTTGGGGGGGTGCGCGCGTAAGATGACCCCACCCCACTCTCGGAGTTGTCTCCTGACCTCTATGGCCACTAAACCTCCCCACGAAGTCGCCCTTAAAGCCCCGAGGAGGAGGAGAAGAAAACGAGCGGATCCCTCCAATCGCACCCATTTAAAACCCAGCGACGTGGAAGGAAAACTCTTTTTTTTCCCTTACCCCCCTGGCGAAATGGAAGAGAGAGGAATAGAAGAAGCTATTCGAAAGCAGGGAGAGAAAGCAGACATTCTTCCACCGAGGAGGGAAACTTTTTTGGCGGGGAGGAGAGGAGAGGAAAGGGATTTTTCAGACCGACGCTTGGAAAAAAATAAAAAATAATGATTGCCGAGTATTAGAGAAGCCGATTTTCACCCCCCAAAAAAGTGTGTTTGCCCCCCCCACCCACGGGAAAAATCCACCCACCCCCTTACCTACCTCCCCCACCCCACTCCGCGTTTACCTGGGCCAGGCGATGCGCCCCGCAGCCCCACGGACGGGCTGAGCCGGAGGCGCGTCTTCCCGCCGCCTCTCGCTGCTAATGCCGCCGCTGCCTCGTCCCAAGTCGGCCGCCGACTCCAGCCGCTCACTTCGCGGCGGCGGGGCAGCGGGGAGGAGGAGGAGGCGGCGGCGGCGTCAGCAACACCATCCTCTCCCCATCTCCATCTCTCTCGGAGGGGACTCGGAGGCGAGGCTGCGCTCCCGAGCAGAGCGGTGGCGGCGGCGGTTGTGGGGCGCTCAGCCTCGAACTCGCCTCCTTGCCCCCCTGCGCCGCCGCCTTCGCTGCTGCTTCTTCTTCTTCTTCTTCTTCTTCTTCTTCTTCTTCTTCTTCTTCTTCTTCTTCAGGGCTCCGCGGCTCTGGCGCCTTTTTCCCCACCCCGCGTTGGAGCCGCGTGCCCTGCGCAAATGGCGCTGCTGCCCGCCTCTCTCTCTCTCTCTCTCTCTCTCTCTCTCTCTCTCTGAGGGGGAGAGTTTTGAGGGTTAAGTATAAGCTGGATTCACGTGTAGGCTAAACAAGGCTATAGCTTTGGGCCCCCTCTCTTGCCCCCCCCCCAAAAGAATTAAAGGAGAAAATAAAACTGGATGTACATTTCCAAAATACAAAATATAAGATTTTTTTAAAAAACACCTACATACAGCAACAGTGTTTTGTGTTGTGTAGGCTCCTATGATGTAAGCAGGCATGTCCAACAGGTAGATCGTGATCAGGTAGATCACTGGTAGATCATTGGCTCCCCCCAAAGAAGCTGAACAACTGTGGCTCCCTAAAGAAAGTCAACTTTTTACCTCCTCCCTGAAAAAAAACTCAACAACTTTGACCCGAACTGCCCCCCCATGGGCCTTTCTCCTTCCTAAATCGTCTGCACACAACGGCGGAAATCACGTCTGTGCAGAAGCCAATGCAGGAAATCGCGGGCAGGTGTGCTCGCACACACACACAATCCAGCCCACAGAGGGATCTCCGCTGGAGTGATCCGGTCCAGGAGAGGTAAACCTTGCCGACCCCTGGTGTAGACAGGATTTGGGGGTATAGTATAGCCAGAGACAGTTTGACACGTTTTAAAAACCCACCCGGACAGATATGTTACCTCTGAAAAAGAGGACGTGTCCTGGAAAAAGAGGACACATGGCAACCCTGTAACGTCATCTCCAACTCCTGCAATATAAGCACGGATAACTGAGAAACACTGGCCTGCAAGTGCTCCAATTGGAAAACAGCTTTCCCCAAAGGTGTTGTGGATTTTGAAGAAGCACGCACTCAGAACGAAAGGGAGAAACGTCCTAAGAGGAAGGCACGCTTGGCAAACCCTCACCATGATCAACCCCGCCCCCCGGAAACCTATGTCCCCACTGTGGAAGGACATGTGGATCCAGAATTGGCCTCCACAGTCACTTACGGACTTACTATTAAGATCATGTTCATGGAAGACAATCTTACTTGATTATGAGTGATTGCCAAAGAAGAGAAGAAGAAGATGGTGGTGGTGGTGGTGGTGGTGAAGAAGAAGAAGAAGAAGAAGTGTGTGCTCCCTTTACACAAGGAGTGTTACTCACCAAAGGTGCCAACTTGAATAAAATGAATCACATGACATGGCACCCCATAAAATGGCCACCCCATAAAATGGATCACATAACATGGCACATGCACACACCATTGGAATGGTAATGCCCATCAACTTTGGGGGGACAGCCCCCTAAAATATTTTATGGGGGGCTGGCCAAAGAGACCTCAGCCTGTAGGAGTTCAGCCACCTCCGTTTGACCTTACACTAGATGCAAGCCATCAGCGGTGTCAACTTGAATAAAATATTGGGAGAGGCAAGTAAGCCCTGTCCTACATAATCGATCACATGATGCGGTGCAAACACACCATTTGAATGGCAATGGCCATCAACTTTTGGGGGAGGGGAAGCACCCTCAAATATTGTATGGGGAGGGCGTGAAGGGACCTCGGTCCCCAGGAGTTGGCTCCTATGTTCCCCAGCCACCTTTGTTGACCATACACTGGTTCCAACCCATTATTTTGATTATAATCCTACCACCGCTCCCCTGACACCCCTTACACACCCAAAACATGTACAGTGGTACCTCGGTTTACGAACTTAATCCATTCCAGAAGTCCGCTCTTAGACCGAAACCATTCTTAAACCAAGGCGCGCTTTCCCTAACTAGGCCTCCCACTGCCGGTGCCCTTCCACCGTTCAGCTTCCATTCGTAGACCAAAGTAAAGTTCGCTAACTGGAACACTACTTCCAGTTATGCGGAGTTCATATACCAAATAGTTTGCAAACAGGGCTGTTCTTAAACCGAGGTACCACTGTAAACATAGTTTACTATTATTATTATTTATTGCTTGCTTTTCACCATTAGGTCCCAAGACAGCTCACTATGGCATAAAATACAATATTAAAAACAGTTCAAAACAAATTGCAGTTGCTACTATAGTAGGTCCTAAAAAAATACACCTTTCAAGTATTAAAGGCCAGGGTGCATTTTGTTCCATTCACTCTCCAGGAGTTTGGACTTGAATGGATACATCTAAAGTAGTTCTTTGTATGCCTATATATATATATATACATATACTGTATAGATACAGATATATAATTTGACAAACAAGAAGGAATTCATCAGTGTCTAACTGATACTAAGTTGCAAGCAGGACATTAAGAATAAAATACAATTCAAGTCTGTTAGATTGTTTGTTAAATTTTCTAGTTACTTTATCCTGCCCAAGGCAAGCCAAAGCAACTTACAACCAAACAAGCATTCGCACAAAACAAAGTTGCACAACAGAAACACTGAAATATAACCCAAAGGAGGCAAGAGAGCCAATGCATGCATTACTGATGTGGCATGGGAGCCTCTTCCCCATGGATCAGGTCCAACGCTGCTGTGCTACCATTTCCTTGGAAGAACCACATGGTCATGAGAAATGATGTTTCTTCCAAAGCCAACTTCACCCAATACTGTATAGCCATGGGAAGGAAGCAAAGATATGTTTGGCCCTTCCTACAGGTGTTTCTAGATGGATGTTAATTGTGGAATTGGTTTCTGCCATCCACGTGATGTTGTCATCAAAATGCCAGCTCTTAGCTATACTTTGTTTAATCCAGATGTACCCATTCCACAGAAAAACTGATTTAAAAATAACTCGTTGTATATCTGCAATCACTGCTGGTGTATAAGCTCATAAGAACTTTTTTTAATGGGTGGTTTGTCACACGTGACTTACCTAAGCGCACCGTAGCCATTTCTAAAAGGGTGGCCATGACTGTGCCTATTTCAGCATATTGCTGCCTGCAAAAGGCACATTTGAATTTTAGCAAGCCAGTTAAGAGCAGCTGGTCCATCAAGATCTCTGCACAGTATAACATATGAGGGCTTAATCCTCAGAGACTGTCATTACAGTACATATATTAGGGGTTTGGGTGTGTGGGTTTTTTTTATTAAAAAACCACTCTTGTGGAAGCCTTAGGCAAATTCAATCTTGCTCAGTTCCTCAGTATTATTCCCCATCCCCAAGAAACAGAAATGCGTTGTGCCATTCTCCAAAAGCACAGTGGACACTCGGGTTGTGAACGTGATCCGTGCAGGAAGCACGTTCGCAACCCGCAGTGTTCACAATCCACAGCGCTGTGTGTGCGCACGCACGGGTTGTGATTCGGCTCTTCTGCACATGCGCAAAGTGCGATTTAGTGCTTCTGCACATGCGTGACTGCTGAAACCCAGAAGTAACCCATTCCGGTACTTCTGGGCTTTGGCGAGTCTGTAACCCGAAAAAACACAACCCGAAGCGTCTGTAACCCGAGGTATGACTGTAGAAGCTTCCATCCCCCTCCATTGTGAAACACGGTTACTAATGCTTGTTTTTGCGTACTCTTGTGCACAAAACCTGGTTGGTTTTTTTTAAGGTGCATATACATAGGTGCGGAATTACCTGCAGGTGTGTCCTGGTTGTGAAGAGGATTGGGTGAGGTAAGAGTTTATTGAGACAAGGGACACAACAACACTACCTGCATGTTTTTTGTCATACTTTGTCCACTAGTGTGGATTGCAAGCTGTGGAATAACAATTGGTCCTGTGGCTGAAAATATGTCAATGTGTGGATGCTTGCGTATCAATTGCACATGCCAAAAAAAAAAAGAAGAAAAAAAAGGACCTGAATGATCTGTTTGCAATATATGATCTCTGCCTGGAAGTAGCCCTGGTGATTCCTCCATCTAGAGTTCTGCTGATCAGGAACTTAATTTTACAGGAGGGAATGGCAGCTTCCTTCCATGATCTGCTGTTCCCACAGCCAACAGTAGGCCTATTTGATACCTTTCTTGAATCTAGGAAGGAGACCTGGCATTTCTTAGGGTGCAAGATGTGGCCATGGGCCTTGAGTTGGTGATCCCTGATTTAAATGTTACTGGAGTGACATGCAACTAGATTACAAGGGAGTAACTCTTCAGACACTGCTTTAATGTATGGAAGAAGCCTTAGTTCTCATTGGTCTCAATTTTTCCTGTCTGTCAGCTGCGTGCTCAAAATACTATAAATGTGCCTGCCCTATAAACTTCCTTCTGCTTTCTAATAATTCATTGTGTGTTATTGTTGTTCTAAAATAACCACAGCTTTTCATTATTTATTTGGTAGAGTTCATATCCACTTGGTTATTCACTACATCCCTTTTCATTGTCAGTGTGTTCCCATTTCTTCTTCCAGGCAGCATAATATGCATTGTTTGCTTTCAAAATGAAAAATGAGAATCGCCATATCAAGAATACGGTACCAGCATCAGTGCATATTGTTTGTGTACAGTTTGCACAATAAATCTCAGATTAATTCATGGAACCGGTGCAACAAGGGATCTTTTTGTATTATTTAATTTTACTAATTGAAGATACATATGTGTGAATATAGAAAAAAGATCATGTATTATACATGCACAAAAGTTTTATTATAGACCTCTTTGAGTATATTATCTCCCTGCTATTATGTCTTAAAAAATCAGCAATGCTGTGGACCTCAACCTCTTCATATCTTATTAGGTAGGCTGAATGTGAATGTTAGCTGTCCTGTATAATAAACAAATAAAGTCAAGGTTAATTATCAGCTGTGAATAGTCCCAGATTACTTAAAAAAGAAAAGATAAGCTTGTTTATCAGTATTGGGTCTGTCCCCAAGGAAACTTAAATTGCTTAATACTATTAGATTGCTGGAAGTAAAAACTTTCCTTTCCTTTCCTTTCCTTCCTTTTTTTTTTTTTTTTTGATGGAAGCTAAATAATGAAGTAGTGGTAGTAGTAATAATAATAATAATAATAATAATAATAATTTATTATTTATACCCCGCCCATCTGGCTGGGTTTTCCCAGCCACTCTAGGCAGCTCCCAACAGAATATTAAAACCACTATAAAACATCAAACATTAAAAGCTTCCCTAAACAGGGCTGCCTTCAGATGTCTTCTAAAA